CAGCAGTTGATCTCATTCTATCTGTTTGTTTTTCTATCCTCAAGTTCTCAACCTTTGTGTTTTCACAAAGACCTGAGCTGAAAAAATATGGTAGCCTTATCACCTACTTCGTTCATGTAAACATGGAGTCATCCTTTAGTCATTACTTGCATTCAATTCCAGGTTAGTTCCTTAAGTTTCAGTTGTTGGTCAACTTACATGTCAAATGCTGTGTCCAGTTTTTTATTTTTCCATAGGAAATAATTACCGTTTCTGACCTTACTGAAGAATCATCTTTTCCCAAAATGGCATAGGTTTTGTTTTTAAGAGGAGGTATTGTAGGTGCAGGCCAATTTCCCTTGCTTCTCATTTTATGGCACTCTATAGTCTCTTATTTTACTTATTGTTGCTGTTTATCTCTGACTTTTCAACTCCACCTCTTAGAATCCACAGGTTCCTTCAAAGATCAGCTTAAGTACTAAGTACTATTTTCTACTTAAGGTCAGCTCCCCTCTTCAATCTCTCCTATCCTTCCACTTGCTTTACTTCATATTTTGTATTTATTTATAAATATACATTGCTATACACCCCACCCCATCATCACTAGATTGAAAGCACCTTGAGGACAAAGACTGTCTTTAGCCTTTATATCCCTGTCACATAGCAGGTAGTTTCCCAATCCTAGCTGATGCCTTTTGCTATATAAACTGCTTCTCTATGGACATTTAAAAAATTCATTCTTTGATGCTAAAGTACCAAACTTGGCAACTATATTTCTAAATGACATGAAAGTAAGATTCCTTTTTGTCAATGTCCCATAGATTCTATTAATGCGTTCCCTTTGCCTTCTATATACAATACTTCCAGGCAATTTTCATAAATGATTGTCTAGAATGAAATTCAGATCATTTCTTTGTTTTTCTTCTGTGAGCCCCATAACTCTCAAATTGTTACTGCAAGCTCTGTCCTCTAGCCCTACTGCTTTGGTTTGTAAAGATCTGAGATTTTTCTAGCTTTGCCATTTTAAATATCATTTTAATCTGTTACTGGTATTCCATCTATGAATTATTTCATTCTGATCAAGGCATTTTATTCAACAGAGAATCCATTACTTAAATAAGGTTTTCTACCATCTTTTCTACAGTGTCTATTCCCAAAATAGTCTCCTTGACGTCTTTAACAATATTATTTCCAATCCTACAGATACCAGACCTTACTTTATCTCACTTTTTATGTTTGTTTGTTTTTTTAATTTTTGGGCAATTGGGGTTAAGTGACTTGCCCAGGGTCACAGAGCTAGTGTCAAGTGTTTGGTCTGAGGCCGGAATTGAACTCAGGTCCTCCTAATTTCAGGGCTGGTGTTCTATCCACTGTGCCACCTAGTTATCCCCCCCCCCCCCACTTTTTATGTTTTGAGAGGATCTTGTGGTATGTTCTCTCTTCTAGAAATAAAGTGGTTGTCACTGCAATCTGTTTTCTTCTAGAGGTTTCTCCTTATCTTCTTTTATTCTATACTGTTTATTCACTATTCATTCTTACGGTCTCTTAATTTTCCCAAAAGATTTTTTTCTGTGAAAGTTCTTTTTATAAAAAGCTGTTCTTTTCTGAAAATGAATGTTGTATAATTATAATGACCAAATGTGGCCCCAGAAAAGAGATGAGAAAATGCACCTCAATCTATCCTTTGCAGAAGTGAGAGACTATGAGTGTGGAGAATTATATACAATGTCAAAACATGGCTAACGTGTTGGCTGGTTTTCCTGAACTATTTTTTCTTTTTCTTTTTCTTTTAAAATCTTTGTTTAAAGGTTTTAGAAGGGGAAAGGCAATATTTGGAAATTAAGCTGATATTTTTATAAAAGTATCAATAAATAAAGGAACAAACTGTTCTTTAATTTGGTGCATTTGTAGTTGTTTCAAGGTAGTATAGAGAAGATGGACTAAGTCATAGCCTTTCACTCAGCCATCATGCTACAAGTCCTGACTTCACTTTATCATCGCTACCATCTCCCATGTTTTGAACTTAATAGTTTCCTTTGACTCCTTCCTCTTCCTTACCTCTCATAACCAATCAGTTCCAATATCCTAGAGATTTCACCACATCTTTCACATCTGTCCCCTCCTCTCTACTCCCACTTTCCTAGTACAGGTCCTCATTACAACTTGCCTAGACCACTGCTTTAAAAAAGGCAGGACACTGCTACAATAGTCTCCTAATCTTCCTGCCTTCTTTCTACCCTTCAATCTATCTTTCATACTAGTGGAAGACTAATTTTCCTTATTTATTGGTCTGGTCACAGGATAACAGAATTAGGGTTGGAATGGACCAAAGAGACCATCTAATTTAAGCTCCTCATTTTACAAATAAAGAAAGTGAAGCCCAGAAAAATTTAATGACTCACCTAAGGTCACACATGTAGTAAGCATCTGAGTTTGGATGTAATGACACAGATTTGTGAAAAAATGTTTAATGGCTACCCATTACTCATCAAGTAAAATTTAAATTCCTTTGCCCAACATTCAAGTACCTCCTTCCAAAAAGGACTGTTTTTTCTAAATAAGCAACATCTTGTATAGTACTACTGACACGTGAGATGTTCAATAAATGTTTATTTTTAAAAAGATGGAAGGAAAACCTTGGTATTCCCTCGAGGTACTGTCAAATTTCCGACCTTCTTTTCATCAAACTTCTGGAATAAGAAGTCTGTATACATGGCTTTATGAATCAGTTTTTAAGCCTTTGCCTTTTGGCTTCTATTCTAAGCAGACTAATAAAATTATTCTTTAGTAATAAATCTAACAATCTTTTCTGCGCCTTTATCTTCCTTGACATCTCAGTAGTATTTGATATTGTGGATCATGACTCCTTCTTGACTACAAAACCCCTCAGTCACTCCCCTGTCTCTATGGCATTCTTCCCTAGCTTTACTTCTTCCTCTAAATTCTCAAATGCAGTCACCCTTAGTTTCATGTTCATCTATCTATACTCTCTCGCAGAGAGCTCCTCTACCTTGATTGCTTCAATCGTCACGTTTATGTGGTGACTTTAACTGTGAAATCTATTTCTCTGTAACCTATCACCTGAGCTCTAGCTCCATATCTCTAAATACTCACAAGGATCTCCTGCTGTCATTTAAAACTCAAAAAGATATGAAATCAAACTTCTCCCAATCATCCTGTACTTCAAGATTTAACTATCAATTATATATCAACTGTATACCAAGATAGTCAGCTCTAAAATCCTGGAATCATTTCTCTCTCTCTCTCTCTCTCTGTCTCTTCCACTATTACAAAGTTCTGACATTTCCTCCTTCTTAATCTTTTCTACCCACCTCCTCCTCTCCCTTCCATCTACCACAATTCCCACCACCACATGCCTATTACCTCAGCCTCTACTCATACAATAATCTCCTTACTAGTTTTCTTCCTCAACGCTAGACCACTTCTGATCCACACACAATCATGCAATTTTATTGTCCTAACCCACAATTTTTCATGCTTTATTCCCTTCTGGCAACCATCAACAACTTACCTCTTTCTAAAGAAGAACACAGTTCTCATTTTCTCTTTTAAGGCCATTAGCTATCTCTCACCTATCAAACTTGTTCTGACACATTTACTTACATGAACCTACAACCCCAGCCAAACTGACTTATGTGCAAACATAACTTGGACTTTCCTCATAACTACTCTTTTTTTTTTTTTAAAGGCAATTGGGGTTAAGTGACTTGCCCAGGGTCACACAGCTAGTTAAGTGTCAAGTATTTGGTCTGAGGCCGGATTTGAACTCAGGTCCTGCTGACTTCAGGGCCAGTGCTCTATCCACTACGCCACCTAGCTGCCCCCTCCTCATAACTATTCTTAAGCCTGGAATTCTCTCTCTCTTCTTCTCCCCTCAAGTAAGTCCTGCCCACCCTTCAAAGACAAGTTCAAGTCTCACTTTTTCTGACTCTCCTAGTCCTAACTGATGTTTCTTTCCTAAATCCTCTAGCACATTTTCTGCATTCCTCATCCGATACTTACTGTATGCTACCTTGTAATGTATCTAATATAATCTCTTTTTATGTAAGGGTCCCAGATCAATTGTGAACCCTTTGAAGATAGACAACTGTGGCTTACATTCCTATACCTTTGGCACCTACCACAATAAGGACAAAAAGTAGGTATTCAAAAAAATTTTGATGATAAAGAAAACACCAATCTGCATTTCTTCTTTATCATAAGGATTATTTTTCTTTTGTAGCAATTAGGAACCATGTATGCACTTCGAGTATATTATGGAATTGTCAATATCCTACCAGTTCTACTACTGTGTGCCTCTCAGAAATTCTATATGGCTAAAGACTGAAAGTAAATTATTATTTGGCATTTTGATGGTTTCAATTTAGTTCTACTTGATTTATCTACTATTTTAGGATCTTAAACAGAATTACCCACAATGTAGTTCAAAACACACACACACACACACACACACATGTCCTTTTCTACTGGAAAGAGACAATACTAGTAGTTGTAGTTGTCAGCAGCCCTGAGCTAACAGAATGCATATGGAAAGAAAAAACTAAATGGGCTAGCAGAGGTGGGGAACCTACAGCCTTGAAGCCACATGTGGCCCTCCAGGTCCTCAAGTGTGGTCCTTTGACTGAATCCAAACTTCCCTTTTATTAAAGGAATTTGTTCTGTGAAGTTTGGATTCAGTCAAAAGGCCCCACTTGAGGACCTGGAGGGCCATATGTGGCCTCGAGGCTGCAGGTTCCCCACTCCTGATTATAGCAGACTAAGAGAAGCAGTGTTCTGGGAATTCTCCACTTGGAGTGGTGTGTAATTGGGTGCTTGTGGAAGACGTCTAGTTTTTCATGAGCTAGGTATTCATTATGGACTTCTTGCCAGGCTATATAGACACTAACATTGTTAAGTATCTTTTTAAATTATTGGAGTATATTATTTTCCAGTTAACTCATTTTTATATCATCTGAAGTGTATCAGGAAATGTAATGAGACAGTAACAATTCAAAGACTACCTGATAGGAGACGGACTAGATGTTTCTGTATCACGCTCTGAGGAGAAGTAATCCTCTGTGCCACAGCAAACTGTACTAATGCTTTCAGGCCACTGTGCTAAATCGGAAGAAGGAAGAAAAAAGGAGGAAAAAAAGAAAGGCTGTAATTTGTATAAAGATACCTGTTAAAACTAATGGGAAAATTGGAAACAATATAACAAAGGAATGGCTAAGTCAATTCTGACAGAGTAATATGATGGAATACATACAACTATTAAAAATGATAAGTAGGCATACTATATCAATCCCTGGAAATATGTATATTAAATAGTCAAGTGAAATAAAAAACCCTATAAGGTATATGCTCTTAACTATATAAAATACAAATGTGTGAAATAAGAGATTGAAAAGGGATTTATGGAAATGTTTTATGTTTATTAATCAGTAACTTTTTAAAATTGTAAAATGGCTTAAGTTAATAATAGATATCTGTTATATATATGTGTATATATATGTATATATATGCATAGATAGATAGATAGATAGAAAGGATGATAGATATTACAGATGTTACAGGCACCTCAATCCCATGCAGATAAAGAGAACCATTAAGTATATCCTTCCCTTCTTCCTGCGTGCCCCATCAACCTTCCTCTGAAGACCCTGGGCCACCCAGGCCCCACTGGGGCAGCCAGGTAGGAAGAACACTTGGATGAACTAGGAGTCCTCCAATCATAACCCTTGCAGTGAGAGAGAGAACTACATCAAGCCCTACCATCTATCCAGCTGCTATGGCTTCCATGGGCACCATGGGCACTGCCATTTGACCTGTTGATGTACCCCATGGACTCCTGGGCCTTTCCATCTGCCCAACCACTGTGCCCTTAGACCTTCTAGGGCTTTCAATCTACTTTGCAGCTGAACTCTTTTATATGTATTGTGTCCCCCAATTAAGAGTATGAGCATATTAGTTCCTTAGGAGCAGGGACTGTCTCCTCTTTTTCTATTTATATCCCTAATACTTAGCACAGTGCTTGCCACAAAGTAAGTGCTTATTAATAAATGCCTTTTCATTCATTTACTTACTGGAAAACTTATGTAATTCAGTATCAGCTAGCCAAAATTTTAAGCTTTCACCCCAAAGAAGTATTTATTTCAACTTTGATAAAAATTTTTACTACCTTAGAATACAACTTTTAAGTATTAACTTAGTTTACTTTGAATCTTAGAACTGTATGCCTGTGCTAATATAAATCAAGAAATTCCAAAGTAGATCATGACAGAGAAACAATTGTAATGAATGCCTAACTCAGGAAAAGTGTATTAGCTTTGAGCATCCTCGCTATATTCCATGTAAACAACTCAAAGTAGCTACTATACTGAACTAATATAAAATTCTTATCTCCCCCAAATCTGAAGTGTACAAACCTACACTTATCCTATAATCATGCTCATAGGACCACAGTATTTTGCACACCTAAAAAGTTAGGCATTTGTTGTAGGAATAAGAGCTCCACATATGCTCAATTCCAAATCATTCCATCGCTAAAACACTGCTCTCTTAGAAGGTAGAGGAATGAATGTTAGGAAAGGCAAGGGTTCCCAAGTTCAGGATCATGACTACAAACACATTTGTTACTGAGAAGACTACTGCCAAGCTAGGTGCCAACAAGAGAGGAGGGAAACAGTACTGGGCAAAGGAGGTTTGTGCAGAGGCAAGGGAATTCTATCTCCTGATCTGGAGAGATAAATGACCCATTGTATGCTTTACAGGAAGTTTTTGGAGTGAAACTTGTTCAAGGTCCTTCTCCTGCCATCCTGCAAATCTCTGCAGTACTGGGAAACTGGGATTTTGATAGGCAGTAAAATGCCAAGGAGCCAAGAGATAACAAAGGCCAGTTTGCTGAAAACTAATTACTTGAACTAAAATGAACAAGTACGACTTGAAATAATTTTGCATGTTACTCTCTGGAATCTGTTCCATAAGTAATTCATTCCAAAATGAGGATAGTTTTGTAAACGTGCTAGGAAGTATGTATCCATTCTTCAACAAGATACCAATTAATGCTTTTAGTTCTATTTTCTTGCATACTATAGGAAGTTAATGAGGGTTAAATATAATCACTGGGTTCACACTGGACTCCTAAGAAAACACAACATAAATAATGTTACTTAGGATAATAATAATAAATAATAGGTACTTATGGTATACCTGTCTATTCTGAAGGGCTCCAAACAGAGGTTTGCCTTCATCTTCCAGCAGATTGTCTGAAAAATTTAAAAAAAAAAGCATTAAAATTATGGATTCTAAAAATCATAGCATCTACTGTGTTACTTTCTGTGTATGGCCCCTACTGCTGTAGTCAGACCAGTTTGTTTTCATTATAATAGTTTGACCTTGTTTCCCTTCAAAGTTTCAATTCTAAGCCAGATGCAAATTTCCTCAATTTTCTAAACAAATGAGTATTAGGTGATCAACTAGACGTAACTTATAATTTTTGCAGTTTAATTTCAAAGAATGCTTTGTGATATAGCTAAGTGATCAGTCTTGGAAAAGAATAAGCATTCCAGCTTACTCCCATTCCATTATTCTCACTACTCCATTCCCACATTAATTGCATCTTTTTCTTGTAGGTGATTTTATTTAGTACTCTGATCACTTTTCCCTATTATCTTCCTACTTCATGAAATGGAAAATATGGCTTATTAAAATCCCAAATAGAATTTATCATTTTCCAAATGGGATTTAATGGCCTTAAATTTCTTCATCATTTCCAGTGCACTTCATGCAAAGTACTCAAAGGTAATGATAATGATGAAAATGATAACAATTATAACAACAATATTAATAACTAGGATTTACATAGTACTTTATGGTTTGCAAAGTGCTTTACAAATATTATGTCATTTTATCCTCAAAAAAAACCTTATAGGTAAGTGCTATTATTATCCCCATTTTACAGTTGAGGAAACCAAGACAGACAGAGGTTAAGCGACTTGCCCAGAGTTACACAGATAGTAAGTGTCTGAGGCAGGATTTAAATTTAGGTCCTCTTGACTCTAGGTCCAACAATCTACCCGTTTTGCCACCTAGGTGCCTCTACTACAGTAGACTAAGATAAACTTCATTTTCCCTCCCCAAATCTGGACTGTAAAAACCTCCACTTAGCCTTTAATTATCTTTCCAGTACCACTGTCTTTCACATATTGAGATACTTAATTGTTTGTTGTATTTTATTTCTTATAGAGAAGCTGTGATTTAAGATGAAACCTCAGGAACCATGTAAAACTTCAGTATACTTTGGAATATCAATCAAGTGATGAGCATTGATTATGTACTTAGTCTGTGCCAGCTAGGTGGCACAGTGGATAGAGCACTGGGCTTGGAATTAGGAAGACGCATTTAGGAAGATATTTACTAGCTATGTAACCCTGGGCAAGTCACTTAATTCTGGTTGGCTCAGTTTCCTGTAAAATGAGCTAGAGAAGAAAATGGCAAATCCTCTAGTATCTTTGCCAAGGAAACCCCAAATAGGGTCCCAAAGAGTTGGACACAACTGAAACCACTCAACAACAACAGCATGTGCCAGGCATTAGACTAAGTGCAGAGGATACAAAAGCAGAAGTAAAAGTGACCAAGCACTCAAGGAGTTAGATTATATTCCAATGTGAAAAAAAACATATACACTCTTAAGGATACAAAATGAATACAGGGCAGTTTGGTGAGGGAGTGCACTAGCACTAGGAAGACCTGAAGTGAGCAGAATAAGAACAATTTTTACACTAACATTAATATTACAAAAAAGAACAATTTTGAAGACTGATGAACTCTAACCAGATAAAAGGTCAATCATGATTCTAGAGTAGTGGTAGATTCAAAATAGTGGTAGACTCCAATAGGGGTAGATTTTTATTAATTTAGAAAACCACAAATTAACATTATCTTGTATGGCATTTTTTGGGGGGGGGGCCTAGACAATGGGTTAAGTGACTTGCCCAGGGTCACACAGCTAATAAGTGTCAAGGGTCTGGGGCCAAATTTGAACTCAGGTACTCCTGACTCCAGGGCCAGTACTCTATCCACTGCGCCACCTAGCTGCCCCTATTTAATTTCTTTTATTAAATGTTTCACAATTACATTTTAATCTGGTTTAGCCACAGGTAGGAGTTTTGTGCCTACAGGCTCCCTTTGAATATGACACCAAGAAGACTACTTGGCTGTTCTGATGTGAAATATCTCAGTGGATGGGGGAAAGTGGGAGGGAGAAAAATAAAGAATGCTTGATAACTGAAAAAAAAAAAATACACACACACACACACACACACACACACACATATGCATGCATGCGTGCGCGCGCGCGCACACACACACACATATATTTATTTTTGGCCAGGCAATGGGGTTAAGGGATTTGCCCAGGGTCACACAGCTAGTAAGTGTTATGTTTCTGAGTCCAGAGTTGGTGCTTAAACTGAGTTATAAAGGGAACTAGGGTTCCAGGAGATGGAGATGAGAAGGGAGTACAATGCAGGCATGGGGGACAGGTGAAAAAAGGCTAAAGCATGGAATAGGGAGATCCTGTGTGCAGAACAGAAGATCAAGTCAGTAAGACTGAAACACAGAGTGTGAGAATATAAATAGGGGAGTAAAATATAAGGAGACTAGAAAGGTAGGATGAGGCTAGCTTGTGAAGAGACTTAAAAAGAGGGGTTCCTAGAACCAATAGGGAACTACTGTAATTTAACGAGCTGATGGGTTGACATGATCAAACCTATATTTTAGGAAAATCTCCTTGGTGGTTGTGTGGAGGATGGATTGTAGTGGGGAGAAGCTTAAGACAGGGAGACCAAACAAGAAGCTATTATAAAAGTCCAGGTTAGACCTGAGGCAGGCCTAAACTTGGGTAGGGGTTATATGAATGTAAAAGAGGAGACATTTTTTTTGTGTGTGTGAGGCAACTGGGGTTAAATGATTTGCCCAGAGTCACACAAGCTAGTATTATGTGTCTGAGGCCAGATTTGAACTCAGGTCCTCTTGACTCCAGGGCCAGTGCTCTATTCACTGCGCCACCTAGCTGCTCCAAGAGGAGACATCTTTAAGAAATATTTTAGAGGCAGAAACAAGACACGGCAACTGGTTAGCATTGCAGAGGAATGACAGTGAGGAGTTGAAGATGACACTAAGTTCTGAACCAGAGTGACTAGAAGGGTGATGGTACCTTTGACAGTAATAGCAAAGTTTGGAAGAGGGATATATTTGAGGGTGAAGATATGAGTTCTGTTATGGACATGTTAAGTTTGAGATGCTTATGAGATATCTTATGAGCCAATCCAGGAACCCTGTGAGGCGTGGGGGGTGGGTGGGAAAGATGGCAAAGAACTCATGGGTTAGTCTCAATAGAGGGAGAAACAGAAACAATATTGCTGTGAAGTTACATCACAGACGACAATGACAGAAGAAGCTGTTATAAGAAGTTTATATCATAAACCTGGCACAAGAGCATTTTACTGTAGTGATGAGGGGTTTCAATGCTGAAGCTTTTTCTCTGCCAAAATCAAAGCAGCTTGAAAATACAACACGCCTGAATGATAATTTTATCTATCAAAAGAGGAAGAAACCAACAAGAGGAACTGTTTTTTGGGATCTGATTTTAGTCATTAACGAGGAATGAGCTGATGAAGGAGAAACAACAGAAACCTTGAGGGCAAATGACTACTCCATCAAAGAGTATAAAGTACATGAGAAGGAAAGGAAAGCTGAGCACAGACCCACATGCAGCCTAGATATTGTAGAATGGGTTTCAAAGGACTCAGTTAAAGATTTGGGAGTTCTCAAAATGTTAAAGTTTATGTAATTAACAATGATAGTTCATCCATTCAAAATTTACTTAACACTTAACTATATGCAAGGTATTATGATCAAATGAAGACTTGTAGTCAGAAAAAAAGAGAGAAGAATCTAGAAACCCGATAAAAATGAGGTGCTTTGTATATTTATATCTTCTGGCTAAATTAAGGCCCTCCTCTATCCCCAAAGGAAGACAGAGAGTCTAGTGGCCACAGAAGTAAATAGGAGTATCTGAAAAACAAGTGCAACAAGCTGAGTCAACAATACTGTGCCAGTCACTGGGCCAAAGACTGGGGATACAAAGAGGAGGGAAAGCACTCCAAGCTTGGGGGGCAGCCAGTGAAAATGCCCAAGTCAGGAGATGGAGTGTCTTATGCCAGGAACTGCAAGAAGGCCAGGGTCCCCGGATCAAAGAATATAAGGTGGAGGGAGGTGAGGGAGGAAAAAGGGATAATGTAAGAAACCTAGAAAACCCTAGGGGAGGGGCAGGTTATAAAGGGTTTTGAATGCCAAGCAAAGGATTTTAAATTTAATTTTGAAGGTAAAAGGGATAGGAGTCACTGGAGTTTATTGCATAAGGGGCTGATAAGGCCAAACCTATGCTTTAGGAAGATCATTTTAAGAGCTGTGCAGAAGATGGACTAAAGGAGGGAGAGACATGGCAAGATCAGAAGTCTATTGGACTAGTGTCCAGGTGTGAGGCGATAGAGCCTGCACCAACGGGTGGCGATATTAGAAGGGATTAGAGGCCATAAACAAGAGATGTTGCAAAAGTTGAAGTAACAGGACCTGGCAACAGGTTAGATAGGAAAGAATGACAGAGTGAGGAGTAGAGGATGACATCTAGGTTGAGAGCTTGGGTGACTAGGAAGATAGTGGCATTCCTAATAGTAATGGGGAAATTAGGAAGACAGGAGGGTTTTGGTGGAAAGATAATGAATTGTTTTGGACATGATGAATTAAAGATATGTATAGAACAACAAGATGTCCAACAGGCAATTGGAGTCAGTAGACTGGAGATTTAGAGAGATGTTAGGGCTGGATAAATAGAGCTGATAATCACCTGCTTAGAGATAATTGAAAGGAGCAAGCTGAAATGATATAGTTGATCATTAGATAATCATCTTATAAATAAGCACTTTGATATAGTAGTCACAAGAGTTAGACAGAAGAACTACCAAAGGATGAGAAAATACTGTTGGTCTTCCTTCAAAAGCATGAAGAGAAGACAAGGAGAACTTTGCAGTGTGCTGCAGATATGCTATATTTGTGTTTCTATAGCACATTATGTAGTAATTCATGAATGTGATTCATGAATGTACAAAGTACAAGTTAGTCTCCATCGTAGAGGAAAAAAATCCAAAGGCCAGAGAAACCCATTTTTCCCTTCCACATTATCAGAGAGAATCAAGGAAAAAAAAAACACACCAAAAAAAATGGTACGTTTTGAAAAGAAGCTGTTCCAATGAATCCACCAATCAATTCCATTATATACTTTACCAATAGACTGGATGGTGAAAGCACAGGTGCCCCAGGTCATTGCAGGAATCCGAGGATCAGTTTCATCAGGAGGCACCTTCAGTATAACTCTATAAATTGTTGTGGCAAAGAGAACCAACATCTCTTTTATGCTGCTAGAGAATTTGACTCTGAAAAGAAAAAAAGAAAAATTTAGCTAGTGAATTAATAAAAGTATTGCCTACTGAGGGGAGTTAAGAGGCTCTAAAACAGAAAGAAATCTAACCTTTTATGATACAGGCTTGTTGTTGTTTGTGAAATTACAGACATATACTATTTTAAAAGTTGCTTCAGTAAGTGAATATGGGAAAGCTAGAGATACCTGTCCTAAAACATAAGAGAATACAATGTTGCCTTTAAGAAAAAAAAATTGTAAAAGAGGGTAATACAATTCTAGCGTTTGTTAACATTTAATGGGTGAGCAGTTTATCATATTCACAGAATTCAACCTTGGACACAGAAGCAATTGCAACATGACTGTCAGAGTGGAAGGAAAAGGAGAGAGAAGATTTTACATTACGTGCTGAGATCTGGATCTGTAGAGGGAACCAGTAAATATTAGTGCTGACATGTTTGCATAGTAACATTCTATACTAATGTAAGTTAGCTGTTTCTGGTTGTCTGGACTTTCATCGATAATAAACATTTGGGACAAGAATAGGATAAAAAGTATCAGAAAGAATCAGATCAGGAAAAGCATACCCTAGACACTAGCCATATGATACCAATTTTTACTTGTATTATATATATATACACACACACACACATACATTATATATATATATGATATATAATATACTTTTCAAAGTATTTATCTATACATTATTTCATTTTACCCTCACAACTAGCTTCCGAAATACACGAGCAGGTTTAATTCTTCCCATTTTGCAGACAAGTTCACAAAGGGGAAGAGATTTGTCTGAGGTGATAGTGAATCAGTGGCAGAGCTATAATTTGAACTCATGAGTCTTTCATGCTTCCTAGTCCAGTTATTTTTCTATGGCATCTCTTAGAGTACTACCCACTAACCCAAACTCTAAGGAGAGCATCAGGAAACACTTCATAGAATCACATATTTGAAGCCAGAAAGGACCTTAGAAGCCATCCCATTCAACTCCTCGATTTAAGATAAGGAGGCTAAGTAGCTTTCAACAGTCATAAAAGTAAGTGGTAGCACCAGAACTTGAAGGAGCTTCTCTGATTCCAGATTCAAGCACATGTTTCAATGTACCACATTGCTTCTCACTTGACACTATCCACATGAACAGAAAGAGATGCACCTAGGTATATTGGGAAAAAGCCTGTACTAAGAGTTACAAGAGGCCTGGGCTCAAATGTGACACTTATTTTGTATGATCATTACACAAGTCATGTAAAATCTGAGCCTCAGTTTTCTCATTTGTAAAATGGGGGCAATAATATCTATAGCACCACCTCCACAGGGTACTATGGGTCAAAATACATATATCTTGTTCTTTGCAAACCTCAAAGTATTATATACATGTCAGCTGCTACCATTATTATTATTATTATCATTATTTTTAATATTCTATGAGGAAAGTAGTTTTAAAAAAAGATAAAGAAATTTATAAAGCATTTCTTACAGGGCAAATATTAACTTTCAATTTTGCTCATACTGAAAAATGTCTGATAAATATTGAAACACTTACGAAGGCTGGATTCCAAAATTCAGTATAGAATGAAACTCCAAAGTAGTATCACCCATTCCTTGATTGACCAAGACTGAAACTTTTGGTATCTCTCCTTAAAATGAGGAAAGAGAAAAAAAAAAGATAAATTAATTTCCTTAGCCTGACAAATACTTAAGGGGATTTTGTAATACATGTTATAATCATCTTCCATTTTTTCCCAAATGTCAACCTATCATTTTCTGAAAAGTTTTCATGTTGCTTTCAAAAACACTAAGATTACAAAGTAATTAGTAAGTTAAAAAAAAGAAAATTAGGGAATAATTAGGCATTTCCAAAGTCACAAGTACATAACAAATCATCAAAGAAAAATTTAAGAGGTATCTGGGATCAAGCTTTAAGAGCTAATTAGAATAAAGACTGCCAATGTATTCCCTAGAAATTTCTTGGTCTTTCCCTACCTAAAGGCCCTGACGGCTTGTTATCACATGTGAATTTTCTTTATTGAAATATTAAAGAATAAAATGGAATCTTTACTTTTTTGCCTGAACCTCTAATTTCATCAACATATAGAACTTCTAGTGAGGAAGCTCCTCTCTGTACCAATGCAGGTTGGCAAATGCCCTACAATTTATAATCTTAGTTCCCAGAAGCACTCAGAGATTTAAGTGGAGAGTCATGGTCATACAACTAAAATGTCAGAGATGAGGATTGAACACAGACCTTCAGAACTTGGAAGAAGCTCTCTATTCGCTATACAAAACTGCCTCTCAAATGGAATCATAGTACAGGAATACAGAAAAATCATGATTAAAGCATAGATTTCTATTTCTGTTACAGCGAAGCAGGCATAAGCTATTTCCTCAAAATAGAGTGGGAAATTCTCACCATGTCATCCACAACAGGAACACAGACATTACCATCATACCAGATAAACCTAACTCAGTTTTGGTGTAAACTATTCAGAGGATAATTGTTCCAGTACACAGGTTGGTTTTTATCTACTCAGAAACAATCTTGTTTACTCAAATTTTAAGAGTTAATTTTCTTTTACATCTTCAGCTTCATGCTGGTAAAAAAAAAATAATCACATTCACTCTAAGTGGTGGTAAATGTTTCTGAAAGACTGTTAGGTCTAAATACAAAAGTTAATGAAATAGTAGTCAAGAAGAATATTGGCAAAAGATTACCACCACATAGCAGTTAGAGGAATGTCTAGAAAACAAGGATAAGAGCTGATATCATCATTAAGCAGTGATATTTCTGTTGAGCTCTCAATGGGCCAAGGCCTAGAATGACAATGGCTAAAAAGCCAGTTAGGAAATATAGAAAAGTTCTTTTTTATCAAGTATTAATGGCAGAAGGCTCCTTCTTCCCCCAAGACTGACTATATTTTTTTGAGTATTGATGTTTGGGTGAGTCTAAACTTTAGAACAATACTGTTATTTTTTTTAAAAAATGGACTTTTGTTTCAAGAAGCTTGGCGGTAAACAAAAAGAACTTCATAATTTCTGAAAGGCAATCTAGCATGACAAGTCCAGGTCACTATCCATTTGCATCCATTGTATCAGATACAGGTACTGATGAATGAGCTCTACATGCATATGTAACTGCATGTCACAGTCTGGATAACAGGAAGTCTTCATCCATTTGATTTTCTCTTTATGGATAGTTAAATAACTCGCAACAATATATGAACATTAGGGACCGAATACTATGGAAGTTCCTACTTAGATCTATGTCAATTCTAAGCCTAGAAGAGCTGATTTGTGGATTCCAAAGATAATATTTCTGTTAACAGCAATTATTCTCTTAAAGGTCACCAATTGTTTCAATTTTGCTAAATCCAATAGCCTTTTCTCTGTCTTCATTTTTTTTTAAAAATCAGAGTCTACAGAATTTGCTGATTATCTTTTCAAAACTCTTCTTAATCAAGAAGCTCAAATTCTCCTTGATGCTATTCTTGACATATTCTATGCCTACATCTTACTGTTTCTGTCTTCTCTGCATCTTCTTATTTTCTAAACGTGGGCATTTTTTAGAGCTCAGTTTTTAGCCATGTATTATCTCCCTATACTTTCTTCTTCAAAGAGTTCATCCATTTTTATTTCTTCAAATATCTATTTGGATGACTTGCAAATCTTTATCTCTAGTCCTGACCTCTTATTAGTATGGCAGGTCTGTATTTCCAAATACATATATCCCACTCAAACTTAACACAGTGAAAACTGAATTCAACTTTTTCTGCCTCAAACTGACTCCCCCTACCAATCTGACCATTTGTGTCATCATGCATTCTCAGGGTTTTAGCGTTATTTTGGGCTATTTCCTGTACATCTGATCAGTCCTTCTTAATAATCTCTCTTTGATTTAATTTAGTTACACTAATTACACTAATGGTAAGTAACTGAGGACTACATAAATTGTGTCCAGTACTTTACCACAACCCTTGTCCTGGACTGCATAACTTCATGTTTAGATTACACTAGTAACCAAACAAGTATTTTTGCTTCTACTTGGTCTCCAATCCATCCTCTCAAACCACCAAATTAAGCTTTAAAATACCACAATCATCCTTCCGGCCCACTTCTCATAAAAATTTAATGACTTCCCACTGACCATAGATAGAATCAAGCCTAAACTCTCCACTTTGGCATTCATTGTCCTGAAATATCTTCTCCACTACTACCTACCCAAATCCTACCAATTGCTGAAAGCCCAAATGAAATCTTATTTTGTGAAATCTTTCCTGAATGCCAAAACTAACCAAGATCATTTCTCTGAAATCCTATAACACTTGTCCAATCTTGCATTTGACTATATTAAATATAGTATTGTTATTTTAATTAGTGGCATAGAAATCAAATATCTTCAAAAGAATCATGTCATGTGATTTTTTTCTGTTTTCTTAATAGTAGTGTTAAGCACAACAGAGTCATCAATAAGCACCTGCTGAATTAAACATATAGATGAAAAATATACCTATCAACTTTATAGTTTCTTTAGCTTTCAGAAAACATCACACCTTTAACATTCCTTCAAGGTAAATTTTTAAGGAAATTAACTGAATACATTTTATTTAAGATTTAATTAAATCTAGGAAAAATACCTACATATAAAATTCAAGACCAAAGTAGGGAAAACTAAAGGAATTCCAGGAGTCTTGAGAATAGAGTTGAGGGAATGTTATGGTTCAAAGTTGTGATTTAAAATATTGATCTATTCCACTAATTCAATCTTCCTCTTTAGAGACTAGAAAAGAAGGATAAGCTTTCTTTCCTGTTATAGAATTAGCTAAAGTGTTTCTTTTAAATTTTTTTAAATGCACTTCATACATTGATTGGTCTCTGAAAATTACAGAATACATGTGGTAGAAACCAAAATGAAGTTTCTCATTACAAAAAGGATTAAAGTTGATCTTCCAAGTGACTTAATCTACTAGATTTCAATTAAACTTCCATTCACATTGCCTGCACATTGCTTGAAAATCATATCTGAAAAAGTAGTTAGGGAATTCATCCACTTTTTCAGACAATAAATTTCATAATTAAGTTGTTGACAATTAGTTTCTCATGGAGTTTATCTGAAAATAAGACATAAATCAAACCTTTAGCATTTTTCAAATTGTAACCTGATATTCGGGCCATGACAGTTTCTATCCACCGTGGCAAGGATAAAAGTTGAGCAACAGCTTCTACATTCTCACTGAAAAAACAAAATGAAAAAATTACTAAAAATATAAGGTTATCACTCATGATTGTGTTCCAGACTTGGAGTCTTCTCTTAAAGAAATATAAGAGATCAAGTTTCTCTAAGTAGCTATAACATCGATGACCTACAAAGATGGCCTATGTATATGGTACATGGAAAAAACTATCTTAAGTGTCAGACCATAGGATGTTAGATTTGAACACCACTACCCTACGAGTTAGAGAGAAAGTGATACTCAATAATAAATAAAAGAATATTAAGAATATTTATTAAATAATAAAAGAACCATGGACAGCTTTTAAAAAACTAGATGATAAACTGAAATTTTTTTTCCAGGTAAGAACTTCCTAAAATGAAATGATAATAAAAACACATAAGGATTGACAGAACAAGATCTGATCTGAAAGTTTCTCTGTTCTCAGAAAGTTAAGTATAGACTGATTAGTTATAAGCGTCTTTTTCTCTTATAATACATCGTCATATTTTTTGAGGCTTCATAAAATCTTATGAACTTCTAAACCTGAATAACTTAAGATTGTAGTGATGACATTTATGTACATAAATGACATTTAAAAGAAGACTGATTAAAGTTAGAGCAACTATATTGCAATACAGTTTCATGTCAGATTATGTGAAAAAAGAAAAAATGGCTATCATAAGAAAGTTCCTAATCCTTCGGCTAGCAGACAGTGATCATGTCAAAACTGAGAAGAAAATTCACTGTTCATTTACAGCAAGATGAACAACACTGAATCTGGACTTATAACTGGATTAGTACACTCAAAGAAATGGATTCTGTGAATGATTCTATGGTTACGGGGATGTAGAGCCCATGAGGAAACTGTAACAGTTGTACATGAAACATTTCACAGGAATTCACAAAAAAATAGTAGAATTAAGTCTGATTCTTCTTTCATGTAGCTCTATACCACTACACCTTGAACACAAATATTTCCTAAGTTATATGTTCCCACCTTATTCATGTGAAGGGTTGCCACTTGACTTTCATGTTATGGAACATGTTAAAAATATATAGTTCAGTAAAAAAAAAAAATCCTACCTGCTTTGGTGGAATTTATAGCCACCACTATTATTAACTCAATTAGTTTTTAAGAGTCAGAAGATTAGAACAAATACTATGGCATATGGAATGGTATGTACTTTAGTTTTTCTAAAAAGTGTTAATAAATTTGCCTTTAAAAGCCATGTGCAACTTATTTCCATCATGCCTACTACCTAAATTAAGAAAATATAGACCCTTTTCAGAATAATGTTCTTGAATGAATAAAATAAAACATATAGGAATACAAAGGAAAACAAGTTTGATAACTGAAATAGTTATAAAAAATGTGTAAAAGCAAGTTCATGGCCAGTATTTTAAGAAGCCCTGCTTATGGACATCCTGGAAGGCACTTCAAAAGTTTTCAAAAGCAGTTTCACATCTATTATTTCATTTTATCCATGTTTCTAAATGAAGGATTAAGATTCACACACACCCACACCCAAGGGGGTAGGAAATTCCAAAGGAATACAGGGAATATTAACTGTAAATATTTTTTAAAAAGTTTTAAATGACTCATAATAGCAACGATAAGTTATGGGATATCTAACAAAGATTAGTCAGTTTTTATTATCTTACAGGTTCTTTTTGTGATACTAAGAGGTAAATGAGGGTAATCACACTGAATAGCTAATGACAGATCAATACAAAATAAGAACTTGGGACCATATCCTAGTTCTTAAAGACATAAAAGAGTGGCTTTTAAACATTTTATTTTTTTTCAATTAACAAAAACCTATTTATGCTTATCCTTACCTTCCTCCACCAGTGGGGGAAAAAAGAAGAAAACAAAAACAAAACTTTTGTCACAAATATGCACAGTCAAGCAAAATGAATTCCTGCACTGGCCACGTCCAAAAAACATATCTCATTTTGCATCCTGAGTCCATCACCTCCCTATCAGGTCAATATAATAAGAGTTGTACTTATTTGCATGAGAGGCAGTGAACCATAGCAGATAGAGCGCTGAACCCAGAAATCGGGAAGACCTGGGCTTGAATCCTACCTCTTATTCCCGTGTGACACATCTGAGCATGTCTCCCAGGTTTGGTTTCATCATCAGTAAAATGGAGCTAATCATATCCGTGGTACTCACCTCAGCATTATTGTAGGAGATGTGCGTAAGTGAGAGAATGTATGTAAAGTATTTTGCAAACTTTAAAGTGCTAAATACATTTCTATTATTACTATTATTATTAGGCATGAAAGGGCTGCAATCTCTACTAGTTATTATTAATATTAGTTACTAATTACAAGTGTTAGTAATTACTCACACTGATAGATCTAACAGTAAAGCAATGAAGTAAACATTAAAAATGAAGGTGCAAAAAACTGTAATTACTTTTCCATTAGTGAAAAACTGACACGTAGTCTCAAAATAAGATGGAGATCACTAAGAGGTAATAGAGACCAATTTTTTAGAAATGAGACTAAGTACACAAACAAAATATACCTGTTCATACTTTGCATTTGTAAAGGAACAACGGGGATCACAGTATTGCACAAAGATTTGCAAAGAGGACAAAGATACTCTCCATTCTCCAAGTCAAAAAACTCAACATGAAGGCGCTGACGAGAATTAATCTGTATAGCCTCAAAGTACCTACAAAATTCCAAAAGAAATGAATTAGTTTAACATTGTGTAAATACCTAAAATTTGATAATCATAAAATATGATACATCATAAAAAAGCTAGGGGTATGCTAGAGATAACAAATTTTCTCAAGGTGTTTCCACATGTCTAGTATTCATAGTTATTCACATAAAAATAGTTGGTTTTTTCCTAGACATTCTACTAATAATTGCTTGTGTGCTTCTAAAAATTACTTCTTGGGGGCAGCGAGGTGGTGCAGTGGATAGAGCACTGGTCCTGGAGTCAGGGGGACCTGAGTTCAAATTTGGCCTCAGACACCTGACACTTACTAGCTGTGTGACCCTGGGCAAATCACTTAACCCCAAATGCCTTGCCAAAAAAAATTAAAAATAAAAATAAAGTTGCTTCCTTCACAATATATCTTAAGAATGCAAATACAAAGGACTGCCCCATTATAATAGAAGTAAATTGGCTTTCTCGCCTAGGGGAAACTGGCAGTAAAAATTTAAAAGGCCTGAAGCTTTATTGTAGTACCGTACTACTTAACTGGAAGGTAGATATATAATAAAAAGACTATTATTCCCTTTATTTTCTGGTCATCAGAATAAATTGATCAGCTAGAAAAGGCTAAACCTACAAATTTTGATCAGGTTAAAAAAGCTTTGCCTAAGATAAATTTGAGAAATAAAATTTCTTAGGATTTCTCCTTTCCCAGAAAAGATGAAACGTGGATCCTTCTGTCCCATTTTTCTATCTTTGGAATACTTTTCTCAGGGGTAGTTCTATAATTATTTGTGGCTATTTATGTAAATTTCTGTTTCCTTTCAATGTCAGTTGAGGAAGTATTGAAAATCATAAGCAAGTGATCTTCCAGAAGCTATTCCCAAAGTTGATCATTATATAACATAAATAGTAATAGTGATTAAAACTGCCAAGACTAGAAATAAAAACAAACTATGCTTAAGTATTAAGCCATCTGAAGATATGATAGTTTAATTGAATATACATGTTACATAGCCCGGTTATGTTTATAATTTTGCAATTTATACACACACACACACACACACACACACACACACACACACACACATTTTGTTGTTCAAAACTGATTTTATCAATGTATGGAAAAGTCCTCTCCAATGCAGCAGACTGTTAATGCCTTATGTAATCTTGGAGAGTGACCTGGGCTACAGGGAGGTCAAGTGACTTGCCCATCGTAGATACCTTGAAGGCAGGACTTGATCCAGATCTTCCTGACTCAAGGGCCAACCCAAAATCCACTATACTACCCATACCTAATGAGGGGCATAACAAAAATAATTAAAAATATACTATATATTTAGAGTAAATCTCTGTGTGTGCATGTGTGTATGTGTGCGTATGCACATTCATGTATAAAAAAAATGTTTTTGGTCTATAATTGTGATTTCAACCATTCAGGGAACTCACAGTATAGAAACTCCCTCCACCTATGGAGATCAGCAATCTCTCTGTAAGTACTATTCTTTGAGTCTTGTTAGGAGCACTGACTTACCCCTGGGTCTTCGTGACTCCAAGACCAACTATACATAATTATGAGTATTTATAATATATATGTAATCATATAACCTAACTCTCATGCCAAAAATTTGCTTATTTTTGTTCCTTGAAATCTTAACACCTATTCCTTTATCACTTCCATGTTTACTGCTCCCACCTTATCCTCATCAGACACGGACATAGGTGTTTCCTAAGGAACACAGAGGGAAAGACCTTGGGAGTGACAAGAAAAAGTTTAAAAAGGGTAAAGGAAGGTGATGGAAGAGGAAAGAGGTATGGTTGGGAAAGAAGAGATATAAGAAAACGTAATGTTTGGGACAACAAACATTAAGTTTAATTCAATTTGTTTCTTTGAAGAAATGACTGAAACAAAAACAGAAAGGACTTACTTCTGCCAGCAGACTGCATGCATGACATGGCCACAGCTGCCAGTGTGGGTTCCACATGTCAGGTTAGGATCCATGAAGAGTGGATCTTGTGTTTCTAGTAGAAGAAGACATAAATTAAGGCTATGAAACAATTTTTCCCATCATGAAAAACAAGTATTATCTAGTAAAATAGTCTCATTATGAATAGTACTTACTATGTGCTAGGCATTGCGCTAAGCATTTTTTTTTTTAAACAAGTATTACCTCATCTGATCCTCAACAACAATCCTAGGAGGTAATTGCTGTTACTATCCCCATTTTGCAGTTGAGGAAACCGAGGCAGACAGGGCTTAAGTGATTTGCCCATGATCAAATAGTTACTAAGTACCTGAGGCTGGATTTGAACTCATATCTTTCTGACTCCAGGCTCACACCTAGCTGCCATTATAAGACATAGTATAAAAGACATGGGTAAAGAAGTAGCCTTGAATCTATCAATAAATATTTATTAAGTGCCTACTATGTGCCAGGCTGGATTTAAGTCCTGTCTCTAATACAGACTGGCTGTGATACTCGGTAAGTCACCTAACCTTTCAGTCTTCTGGCAGCTTTCTAAGACTATTAAGTTGCAGAGAAGGTGCCAGCTTGTATTGGTAGAAGGTTTCCTCATCTGAGAGGTTGTTATACCAATAAAATCACAGGTCCAGTCCCTATCCCAATCCTATTGTCAACAACCTTAGGAATTCCCTAGCAGGAGTAAAATAATGATTTTTTCCTCCTTCCTAGATATATTTTCATAACATAGTAAACGGATAAAATATAAATACGGCCCACAAAATACAGTTCTACAAAATATAAATATGACTCAACTTGCCAAATATAATTCTATGAGTAAATTAATCTCCAATTTATAGCTTTGGTTTTTTAGTTTATTTTGATGTAGGAATACTTAGAAAATATGTGGTCTTCTAGAAAGCTTTTTCTGTAATTCAATCAGATTAACTCAGTCATCTAGAACACTGACATTTGATATCTTGAAAACAAAAGCAAAAGGCTACTTTAAGGTAGTAAGATCTCCTCTCTTAAAAGCCCTAGAGGGAGTACCCATAGGATGGCCTGGGGATTCATATCATGCATACATGAGAGCTCACAATGCTTGGCAAACAGTATTGCTTTGCATGCTCCCATTCTCTCAGAAGAGCACTGGACAAAGAAATGGGGGCATTAAAGCAAATCATTTAATTATAAGCCGAACTTTTTGTCAACTTGGTACAGGTAAAAAATGTCTTTTGGTTTAATGAAGATAGCACAACTGATCTATGAAAGACTAATATTTAAGATGAAGTCACATACTGAAGTAGGGTGCCAGAGGGGTCCTCTATTGTTTACAACAGGAAGACAATGGAAATATTAATGTTGTATGAATTACCTATGTACCCTAGACCAAACTTGAGGTAAGCTCACAGAGGTTAACCAGAATATTTTTAATTTCTGAAGGAAACAGAGATATTCAACATCTGTCAGACAGTGCGAGATCTACTAGCTCAAGGTAGTTCATAGTTTCAACATTATATCATGTTATATTATTTTCAGTTCTTTCAACAATGTTCTCAAATGTTTGAGAAATGTGAGTTTAGTTTTTGGTCTGTTTTTTTTTTACTTGTACTTTTGGCTACACTAGTAGCTTCTGAACTTTGGTTTTTTTTTTTACTTGTACTTTTGGCTACACTAGTAAGCTTCTGAACTTTCTTACCTGTGAGGTTTGTATTTTGGCAAAGTTAAGTTTTGGCAGTTGCTCTGAGACAAGTACTATGTGAAAATCAATGTGGAACAGGAAAATGAGAGTGGCAGTGTCCTAATCTGAGGTTTAAGAAGTTGGACAGTTTCTAACAGACACATAAATCCCATTAGTAAGTAGCTGTGGTTATTTAAGAATGCAATAAAAATGCAAAAAAAAATTCTTTCAATTTATGTGTAGTACTTTTCCAAACAGCTAAGTTGTTAGAATATAAATACTTATTAAGTTGTTTGGACCTAACCACTTAATAAACAGAACTGTTAGTTATTTCTTTTGGCCTAGGAGTGCTTTAAAAACATTCCTCAGACACTAAGGGTGCCATGAACTTAGAAAGTTTGGGAAACAGCCTTAACAAAAGTAAAGTTTAGATAAAAAAATCCAAAGAGCAAATGACAATATGATTTCACAAACACAGTCTTTCCCCTTAATTGCTTGTTTTCTTTATAAGAAAGGAGAGAGAGGAAAGCTGTTAAGTCTCAGAAAAACTAACTTCTGATCATACTAAATCTATAATACTGTGCTAAATTTTGGACACCAAAATTTAAAGATATTTATAAGCTAAAGTTCTTCCAGAGCTGAGTGACTAAGATAATGAAGGAATTAACTAAAGTCACTGATCATGTTTATCTTGGATCAGAGAGGACTTAGGGGCATATAATTGCTATATCCAAATATGTGAAGGGTTGTCATATAGTAAAGATTTTAGATTTATTTCCCAGAGGTCACAAGGGCCAATGGGTTGAAATTATAGGGAGACAAATTTCAGCTCAATATGAGAAGTAACTTCTTAATGATTAGATAATGCTCAAACATATTAATACTGTGAAGATTACCATCCTTTTGAAGGAACTTCAAATTAAAATAGCCTTTATCTACTTCAGAGTACTTTTTAAGTAAAAGCAGTTTAAATGACATATTAAAAAAAAAGATAAATCATGGCTGATAGTAGTTAAGCAATTTGTCCAAAAGATAATGAAAGCAAAGCCTCAATTTCCAATTTCTCTCTAAACATACAGAGATTGGGGGGGAGTGGGGGGGGGGGGGGGGGGGGGGGAGGGGGGGGGGGGGGGGGGGGGGAGAGAGAGAGAGAGAGAGAGAGAGAGAGAGAGAGAGAGAGAGAGAGAGAGAGAGAGAGAATACAAATCCAAGTATAACCCAGAAGGATTCAGAACATACATACCCCCTGAGAGTTCCACAGGCCTTCCCCTCTGCTGTGTTAAAGCACTAGATTTCTGGACACAGGCTGATAAAACCATGGCAGCATTTTCTAATCTTACTTCTTGCTCCTCTTGACACAGAATACAGGTCAGCATTTCCTTTTCACTAAGAGAAGGACCACATTTAGGTCCCAATGCAATTCTAGAGTAGTCAATGGCCATAGGTACACTACCAAATGAAATGGAGATTAAAAAATGTTTACTTGAATTTCAGTCAATAATGCAAGAATCCCAGAGTCCCAAACAAATTGATCTAAGTATGAATTTCTGCTCTACACATACTACATGTATAGCGTTGGGCAAACACCCTTAGCCAATCTGGGACTTATTCTCTAATCTGTAAAATGGGGACGTTGAACTAGCAGGTGTGGAGAACCTGCAGCCATGAGGCTACATGTGGTCTTCTGGATCCTCAAGTGCAGCCTTTTGATTGAATTCAAACTTCAGACTGTTGCAATAGCTTTCTAATTGGTTTCTCTAACTCAATCTCTACCTAACAAAGATGATCTTCTATTCAGCTACTAAAGTAAAATACTAAAGTATATTTATTTATTTAATTTTTTGCTAGGTGAAGAGGCCATTCTCTGCCTCGATTCTTATTAAGTCTCAATCACTGAATGGGCATTGCCTCAGTCAAGCTGAGACCTGTTAAAGATCTTAGCTTCAGAAGGACAAAGTCTCCCACTGCTATGTGGGCCATCTCTAGTTGTCGTGATCTATATCTGGCCACTGGATCAAAATGGCTCTGGAAGAGAAAGTGAGGTTGGTGACTTTGCACATCTCTCCTTCACTTAAATTCAATTCACTTGCATTGTCATGGTATCACCTCCCTGATATCATGGTCTTCTTCGAGAATGAAGGACAAACAGCAAGCAGCAAGCAAGCAAAGTGATCAGATTAGGTCTGAGCATGTCACACCCTCATATTCAATACTCCAGTGACTCCTTGTGACCTCCAGGATCAAATATAAAGTCCTTTGTTTGGCATTTAAAATTCCTCAAAACCTGGGCCTTTCCTACCTTTCCAGTCTTTATATTTTTTATTTATAGCCCCACCTCCATCTCCTAGCCAAGCATTCTGTGATCCAGATGCACTGGCCTACTTGCTGTTCCTCTCACACAATGCTCCATCTCTTGTCTCTTTGACTTGGCACTGATTGATCCCCAAACCTAAAATGTTTTCCCCCCTCAGGTCTTCCTCTGAGAATTCCTGGCTTCCTTCAATATTCAGCTCAAAACCCACCTTTTGCAGGAAACCTTTCCTAGACACCCCTTCCAGGTGACCTTATATTTACTTTGTATGTATGTGGTAAATACCCATTTTAGATTCACATATGTCCATTACATTATTTACATCCCCCTCAATAGAATATAAGCTTCTTAAAAGCAGAGGCTGTTTTTGCCTTTCTCTACTCGCAATACAAAGATCAGCACATAGCAGAAACTTAATAAGTGTTTCTTGGTTGATTGTTGATTGCCTGGTTGCTGAATGACTACAATTTTTACTTGCCAATCACTGTCCCTCTCAACTTTTGACCAATGTCACTTCTCCAATATACAATTTGTCTATGTTTCTGTTACTAGTGTTTCTGTATTTTTATTTGTATGCCTCCTAGTTTCCTGAATGTGTTACTATGGCTAATATCATACACAGTCAATACTTATTATTTAGTGTATGAATTAAATGCCAGTATTCTTCAGGTAGAGATGAAGCAGAATTTGTAGACAGCAAGCAAATGCTCATGAAGGAAAAAAAAGAACCTCCAAACATCAGATGATTAAGAATGATCACTTCTAGTTACATAAACTTTAAGACATTATTTGTCTTTTTTTTTAAACCACAGAAATTATTAGGCAGTTTCTGTCCAAAGACTTAACTGAATTTAGGTGGTAGAACAGTTTTAAAAGTAAGTATATTTCTTTATGGACAGGGTGTGTTGATGCTTTGGTAAGACCATGTTCGATATGCAGATTAAAATCTCTTCTGGCATCCATCAATTTCATCGTGTATGTTAGGAAATATATTTTGGAAAGCATTTAATTTTTCTTATTAAAGTGCAGATTTAATGCCATTTTTTACCTCTCTTCCTCTACAATGGAATTTTCTTTCCCTTGTAGCTCTAAAGTATTCTCATATAATAATTTGTGAGTTTCAATGAAATTCTTCTGTAAGGCTGACATCTGTGCCATGATCTTCTGGCGATGCAGCTTAGCAGCTTCTGCCTTTCTCTTGCGCTCTGCCTTTTCTTTATCCTGCATACACTGAATTTAAAGAAAAACAATATTAGAGAATACAGGTGAAATTTGTTATCACAGAGCTAAGTACATGTTACAGTTCAGATCACACTATCAAAACTTAATGCCCTTAATCTATGAGGAAAAGTGTTCATTCCATCCTTTCTATTTCTATTGTGTTGGGGGGACTCTATTGGAGCAAGTTTTCTCCCTTTAGTAACTTATATTGTTTTTAAACTGATGAGCCTTTACCTCAATTGTGTAATTAAAGGGCAACATCAACTCAAAGAACTTTTTAAATCATTTGTCACAAATCAAAAGAGGAAATCTAAATAGAAAATATTTTAAAGTTCTTACTTTGAAAGCTACTGAGATTTTTTTAAGAAAGGAAATTCACAAGATCACTTAGGATTCTTTGGCACTTCTCTATTTACTAGTCTTGCCTGAGCATAATTCTTTTTATACTGATTAATAAAACATCACCTTCCTTGGTAATAGCTTTACAAACATCAATATCACTGTCAACCCACTGGGTCAAAATATAAGATCCACAAATTTAATTCACCAGAGATAGTACACAATAGACCTAGACAACGTCAATAAATATTACTGAGGTACAGCTCTTGCTTCAAGTTCTTCTGATTCTTATGATAAAAATTTGAATACCTTTCCAAAGTACTCTTAGATTTCCAAGGCATAATAGAATAACAGAAGAAATAAGAAAAGAACAGAAGAGAAAAAAATAAGTCTCCAGATTCATTTATAACTGTAGTAAGGTCCCTTAAAGATAAACAGCTATAAAATATCCATAATGTTCAAGGAGAGTAATTGAAATTATGGTGGAAAGACCCATATTGTTTTGCTTTTATTACCTCATCACTCTTGATAAGTTCTGATCCTGATATAGTTGCTACCGATAAACTAGATTTTTCCCTCAATCGTTTCACCGTATCAAACATCTATGAAGAAAGAATTAAATATTAAAAGAAAAGATGTGGTTGGCATAAACAAGCAAGGTAAATTATCTTATCCTCCCTTGTGGACGTGGACCCACTTATATCATTAATTTAAATTGGTTTTTTTTGCATAAAGGCAAGTAAGTTTTCTATTTTAGCTTTTGGCTTTCTTAATCAGTTGTCAGAGAAAATCTTATGTAAATATGAAATTTTATAAAATCTTGAAACTGTTATTTATATCCTTTGGTTTCGTATCAGTTAAATTTCTCCAAGTATCTTTCCTTCCTTCCTTTCTTCCTTTCCCCACCTGACAGCCATATTCTAAAATAAAGAATTTTTTAAGAAAGAAAAAAATTAGCTAAACCAATTGATAAACTGAAAAAACCTGGAAATACATGCTATATACCATACCAATGGACCTCCTCTGCAAAGTAGCTGGGAAAAGTGTTTTGAAAACACTTTAAACAGTCATTGCCAACTCAAATAGAGAAATCCCAGTTGTAATAGTCCTAAATATAGCCTAGGAGCAGCTAGATGGCTCAGTAGATAGAGCGCTGGGACTGGAGTCAGGAAGATCTGAGTTCAAATACTGCCCCCAGACACTTACAAGCTATCTGACCTTGGGCAAGTTACTTAACCTCTGTTTGCCTTAATCCACTGGAGAAGGAAATGGCAAACCACTGAAATATCTTTACTAAGAGAAAACTCCACGGACTGACCATATGGTTCACGGAGTCATGAAGACTTAGACACGACTGAATGACTGGACAAGTATAACCTTGCTAAAAAGAAATGCAAGGAAATGAGATATTTGCTCAAATTCTAAATATTATTATTGTTGTTGTTCAGTTGTTTGAGTTGTGTCTGACTTTTTGTGACCCCATTTGGGGTTTTCTTGGCAAAGATACTGGAGTGGTTTGACATTTGCTTCTCCAGTTCATTTGACAAATGCGGAAATGGAGGCAAATGGGGTTATGTGACTTGCCCAGGGTCACATAGCTAATCTGAGAGCTAGATTTGATGTCTGGCCTTCCTGACGCTAGGCTTGGTGCTCTATCTACCGTGCCACCTAGCTGAATTGTGGTTTAATTTTTAATAGTGATTTATATTTGAAATTTTCCGATCTTAAAGGAGACAAAATTCATTCTATTTTATTCTGTTCTAACAATGCAATGAACACTAAAAAGATCCTTTTTAGTGTAGATATATTTTTTTAAAAATACAAATGTGAGCAAAAGTGAGAACACTCTTAACAAGAGAGATAAATGATAATGAAGCAGAAAACAGATAAATTCATCATCAGAGGAGGAGGCTGTTTAGTTCTGGAGGGCAGAGAAGAGCAATACAAAGGTAGAAAAATAATAAAAAACTAGGGATAGAAGAAAACTAAAATAACATATTTATTTTATTTATGTATCACTCAAAATGCAATTATTTTATTTTTCTTATCTACCTGCAGTATCCAAATTATCATGTCCTTTTGAGCCTCCAATTGGGGAACTCTTTTCAGTTTTTCCAAAAGTGTCTGTATATTCTGAACATTTCCAGATGAACTTGCCAACCCTTTTTCAGGGAGTAAAAGTAGAATTGTACAAATTAAGCACATTTTATAACACCTTCACAATAAAATATACAAAGTGTATGAATTTAGTTTTATAATTACAATTATTGGCAATTATAATGAAAAATCCCTATTACTTAAACACTTCCATTTTTCCCTACCAAATCTTTTAACAAAGTTAAGATGTAGTAAAACTGATTGATAGGTAAAACACACATTTTCCCTTCTTGGAGGGGATAATAAAGAATAAAATATGGAAAAAGCAGGAAAGATTATATACATAAATAATTATGTTATTTTCCTAAGTAATAAAAAATTCATTATGAAATTTTAGTACAGGAGATGCTTTCGCTTTACTCCATCCACTGGTTATTGGTTGATGAGTAATAAGCCCAATAAAAGAACTCTCCTTCCTGGTCTTCAACACAAACAAAGTCCTATAACTTTTCCGGAAAATGTGTTTCAGTGGCTTGAAAAAACCAGAAAAAAGGAAATGTATCCAGATTATGAATCTAAAACTTTCATGGTATTATAAATTAGTTATTATAATGTTATAAATTAGACCTACATATTTTTACTCCAAATCAGAGTTCAAAAAATATTTATTCACTGTTACTGTTATTTTATTTTAAGTTTAATTCAAGCACACGAATACCGTCTGAACTTCTACTACAAGGTTTTGTGATTTTGTCAGTGTGGGTAGTTCTTCTACTGACACGGACTGTAGCTCCGTTATGTCTTTCTCACAGACATTTGTAAGTGGTGATAGCTAAAAGACTAAACACTCTTTAGTCACTTTAGTCAAATTTAGGTAGCCTGGTTCTTGGACAACAGATCTACGCCCCATTACTGGGCCTATACTAGAAGCCTTTTCAGCATGATAGAATGATCCAGTGGTTATCTAGGGTTACCTGAATATTGTAAAGAGGCATTAAAGTAAGACTTTAGGGCAACCCTTTGCAAATATCTTACAAATGGTAATCTTCTCGAGACTAGGATCTCGTTCTACTATATTGATAATGGAATACCAACTAGAAAGGCGAGTCTGTAAATAGCAATTTGTTAATCCTGAAATAAGTGAGCACAGGGAACAGCTGATATGCTCTGCCAAAAAGTGGTGACAAGCAATGAGATGCACAGCTCTTACTATTGAATAAGGGCTCAACAGATCATTGCACAAAGGTGCAAATATCTAGAGGTAGAGATGACCTGTAATTCTTCTCATTGGGATAGGAAGAACTGTACTACTTTTTCTTCCCCTGATGACTGCTGTCTCCCACACTTGTAATAACCAGCATTGTACAGTACCCCTGAGTCACTACCCTCAAGTGCCATCACTGTGGTGTTCTTCCCTTGAACCATATTTCTCCAACTTCCCTGAGGTCCAGAGCCAAGTAACCAAGCACAACTGCAGTCAGAAAGTATTCTGTACTGACGCTGCCACACACCACAAACCTTTGCCTCTCACTTCCTCAAGTGCATTTGCCTCAGATGCAGTTAGGGCTAGTTATTGCTCTGATAGTACCCAAAGACAGAGATTCCCACTAGTTGAAATTATTAAGCAATCACTAACGATGCTAGAGACATCTTCTCAGCTAAAGAAGGCTAAGTCTTGAGGATTACAAACCTAAAATTTCACTTACAAATCAGAATTCGATTGAAAAATCATAATCAGACATACGTGAAGCCTTATAGTAAAAGTCAAATGTCACTTCTTCTTCAGGAGCTCTTTGGAGCTGCTGTTTCTCTTCAAGCAGACCCAGAGCAAGAAGATGAAATGCCTAATGGAACAAGAAAGATGTGTAAGGAAGACTTTGAAAATGAATGATTTTGGTTAAATTTCTTAAAACTTAAGGAGGATTCAGAAAAAAAATAACAATAAAGAAATATAAATACAAGGAAGTATGGAAAGACTCACGCAGAAAAACAAAGCAGTTTTGAACTATAAACACACTGACCACAATAAAACAAAATCAAAAGTTGTAAGACTTCAAAAAGACTTAAAAAGAGACACAGAAGGCAATTCTTGTCTATTTTTTGCTTATCTGTTTAGTTCTACATTGTTAAAGGATAACAGTTTGTGTAAGATTTTTCTTCCTTATTTTTGTTTATTTGATAATCTATCTTTCTAGTTTTTGTTATAACCAGAGGGTTACAGAGTCTACAATAATTTTTAAATATAAGAGGGTTTTAAAGAAATCAAAAATGCACTATTCACACCTTTGAAGACGAGCAGAAATTCTTAGGAAAAATAAAAGCACTTGTACAACAGAAGTCAAAACAACTCACATTTAGATAACACTTGAAAGTTTATGAAGCACTTTCTGTGCTTTGTATTATTGTATCCATTATTATTGTTATTGTATCCATTTTACGGATGAGGATAATGAAGTTCAGTGGTAAAATGTCTTTCTCACAGTCAACACACAGCTAGTAAGGAGAGATCTGGGATTTGAACACAGGTCCTTTAATCTAAAGACCAATATTATTTATACTATATTAAGGAGGTGATAAGTAAAATGAACTGAGTAGAAATTAGTGTGCTACTAGGGGAAACTGTAGAATCTCCTATGGGGTCTTTAAGAATAGCTTAGATAACCAACTGAAGGATCATTTCATCGAAGTCTTATCTGAAAGCAGACAGCTGGACTAGGGGACTTTTTTATGAACATAAATTGCCATTATACATACCATCTGGATCATAGCTTCAGTCCATAAGTGACTATCCAATTCCACTGCTCTACGCAGTATGGTTGTAAGAAGGTATATCATGATATCACAGTTGAGAATGTTAACCACCTTGCTGAAAGCAGGGCAGAATTCAGGAGGTGGTGGCGGTGGTAGTGCTGGTGGAAAAAAGGCCACATATATGTAAACTTCTATTGTAAAAACTATACTTATTTCATTACATGATACACAAATATAGATGATTAAGGACATAATGGAACAAAAGGGAGTTTTTATTGCATAAAAATCAGAGAAAGTCAGTGTCAAGAAAAAAATCCATGCCTTGGAAATAGAGGTTTCCTTCATACCCAGGCATTCAGATGCTTAAATGGAGGCTGAATAACTACTATATACCCATGCCAGAAAAAAAAAAATTTGCATCAGACAGAATGATGATCAAGAAATCAGTAAGTGACATTTCTCACCCCAGAAATACACAGAAAGTCAGAAAGAAGCCCATGGACAATAAGAAAGTAGGCCCAGTAAAGCCAGAACCAGAGCAGGTAAAGAAGATGGTAGTTTCCCAGTGTGACCAGAAACTGGCTGGAGATGCATGCAGCTTACGAGGCTCTGTTTTTGGACACATGTAGGGCAGAGAGTTCCTCTGACAGAGCTCCAAGGTGGTTAGAAACTCATAGCAGGAACCTTAAAAGCCATGAGAGGGGCAGAGTTCAGATAGGACACTCCAGGCCCTAACACTCTGTCCTCAGGCTTCATAGAAAGGACTCTGAAGATTCAGTGTTCTGAAGCTCAAAGATCCTACACTTAACTTTAGAAAGGAGAGGTCAGTGCTCAGGTCAGAATAAAAAGGGGTAACTACTCCACCCAAAATCACAGCAGGGGACAAAGCCTGGCCTTGGCACAAATCCCTAATTTGGGAACTAAAGATGGAGAGATGGGTAAAGCAAAAAAGACACCAACCAATATTAAAAATGACTACAAATCTAGAAACCTAAAAAAAGGAGTTAGTAATTCTGTAACAATCATAAGACTAAAAAGAAAAAAAAGAATTTTCCACAGGGATTAAATGAATATCTAGAAGAAAAGAGATTTTAAAAAGTGAGAAAGAAAAGCTCTGAAGGAAAGAATCAAAAGGAGAATAGTTTTGAATAGAAAGTGGTAAATATTACCCAAGTAACAAACTCTTTGAAAATTAGAACGGACAAAACAAGATATCAATGACTCCATGAAACAGCAAGAAATATTAGAACAAAATCAAGATAAAAGAAAATGTAATATACTTGCTAATATAAACAACTAACCTGTAAAACAGGTCAAATCAGAGAATTATCAGAGTCCTTGAATATTGTTAAAAGGAGAGGGGAGAAGGAAGGGTGGATACTATATTTCAAGAAAAAAGAAAGGAGAGGAGAGAAGAGAAATTGAGGAATGATTGAACAAATTGTGACATCCAGATGTAATGGAAGACAACATAATATATCACAAAAGAGATGATTTTAGAGAATCCTGGGAAATATGAACTAATATGGAGTGAAGTGAGCACAACCGGGAGAACAATTTTTTCCAAGGACAACACCACTGTAAAAAAAAAAACAAAAAAAAAAAACAGCTTTGAAAGACCTAAGAATTCTGATCAAGACAATAACAAACCATGCTTCTAGAAGGTATGTGATGAACAAAGCATTTAAGCTCGAAATAAAATTTTAAAAAGAAAAAAATATTATATCTTATAGTGGCTTATAGCCACTGCTCTGATCACTCAAAACAAACTTTCTTTGCTCCCTTCCCCACTGAGGTGAGACAAATCTTAAGAGATGAACAAGAAGCAAAAAATTTTCCTTTTCCTATCAGTTGTCCAAAACAGTTCCCCCTCAAACTTATAAAAAGAACTGTTTATTAAATTAATCCTGTTGCCTCAGTTTCTTCTTCAGCAAAATGAACTGGAAAAGGAAATGGCAAACCACTCTAGTATCTTTGCCAAGAAAATGACTGAAATGACTGAGCAAAACCAAAAATAATTGAGCTAGAATTCTTTAAAGCACAAAGCTGGTTCAATTTACCATCTCACGTCTTACCTTCGTCCTTGTTTTCTTGTTTTTTCCTTTTCTTTTGCATATGTTCAGCCTATAAAAGAAAATTTATCCCTAATTACATTATATTAACCCACAGAGAATAGTTAATTTTAAGCAGGCATGACTAATATTAGGGCATTTTAGATTCTTAGTATCTCTGTATCATTTTCCATATTTATAAAATGAGGGAATAGGAAAGATGACCTCTAAGGTCTCTTGAAGCTCTAAGTATGGGGGCAACTAGGTGGTGCAGGGGATAGAGCACTGGCCCTGGAGTCAGCAGGACCTGAGTTCAAATCTGGCCTCAGACACATAACACTTACTAGCTGTGTGACCCTAGGCAAGTCACTTAACCCCAATTGCCTCACCAAAAAAAAAAAAGAAAAAGAAAAGAAAAGAAATGAAGCTCTAAGTATGGCCTTAGATACTGCTCTGGATAAAATACCAAATTAATTCTTAAAAGAAACAAAAATATAAATTTAAATGTTATCACACTATAAATACTAATGTAAAAGGCCTACCCATTAGACGACCTTAATGGACCACACATATTTTGACAACTACCGTGTTCAATCAAAATGACTCAACAATCAATAGCGTTATGTCAACCTCAAAGTCAAGAAGTGGTTTAAAATAGTATTCTTCCAACCCTTTATTAGTTGCTCCAAGAAGACTTTGGGGAACCTTCTTCAGTTCCTAAAACTGGAGGCCTGGTTGGAAAGGGGGCAGAGGTATGGGCAGGAAGGGGAGAAAAGAATGTGAAGTGTTCTCCTTTATAGACTTCATTCCTAGCTTAGTGTTAAATTCCCATGTCACACTAGGTAGAGGAGTAGGAGACATGATTATCTGTGTGCCCACATCATCTCTGATATATTCAATCAAAGTGTTTAATGTCACAGAATGGAAGGATTTCGATTTTAATTAGAAGCAGGGAAGGGGAAGGAAGGACAGGATTAGTGACACTGCAGTCCTTGGGTGTGGAACATTATCTATACTTCAGATTTTTCCAGGTATTAATCAGTTTTGCTGATTTTTTTTCCTCTTCTTCTTCTTTTAAAAAAATTCTTTATTTTAAGAATTGGCTTTCAGGGGAAAGACTGGATTTTAAGGGGATAGATAAATTTAGATAATATACAAGCAAAAGATATCAATAAAAATTATTTTTAAAAAAGAGGCCAGGTTATAGGCACTTACACTTTCATAATTTAATTGTAATAGGAAATTTACATAAAAGGAATTTGTTTTCCTAGGAGATGACTTTACTTTTCAAGGACTGGCTTTTTTTCTTAGGAATGCAAAAAATCATCTTGCAGGAAACATTTTGTAACTAGTACCATTTAATGATTATAAAAGTTACTAAAACTAATATTGATGCCCATTCAATGTTCCTACATCAGTGGAAGCCAGCATGGAATAGCAAAAAGAAAACCAAAATATTTGCTCTTGGTGTAAGAAAGCATAAAACATTCACCTTGCTGAACTTGTAAATTCAGAAAAGAGCTGGAAACACTGTGCTGCTAATAGTATTCAGAAGAATTCTAGCTCAATTATTTTTGTTGTTGTTCAGTCATTTCAGTCATTTTCTTGGCAAAGATACTAGAGTGGTTTGCCACTTCCTTTTCCAGTTCATTTTGTTGAAGAAGAAACTGAGGCAACAGGGTTAAGTGACTTGCCCAGGGTCATACAGCTAGTGTCTAAGGCTGAATTTTAACTCAGGGAGGTGAGCCTTCCTGACTCCAGGTATGGCATTCCATCTACTGCCCACTCAAATGTCATAAGTTATTTTTAGGATTCATCTTTTTAGACTAATGTATACAAACAGGCTTATTTAAAACAAAATGTCCAAAAATGTGCCTTTTGGGCAGCGGCAGGCGGAAGGGTCTGTGGGTGTTGTTTTTTAAGTACCCAGATTGCCTTTAATTCTGTCAATGTGGTAACAGGTCATGATTTTTTAAAGTTACAATTAAAAAACACACATATGAAAACAAAATCAAACAATGACCTCAAGACTCATTTGGGAAATATGTTAAACTATTTTTCAAATGTGTTTGCATTTTTCCTATTTCTCTTCCAAGTTGGGGCCCCTTTTAATTCTTTGTTCAATTTTCTTTAGGAAGAAGAGAAAAGAAGAAAGTAGTAATGCCTACCTCCTTGTCTTTTACATAATATTTCCTACCTTGCTGTGTTGTGTTTTCGAGTAGTGATAAAAAAACATATTGAACTCTTTCATACATTCTTCCCTCAGCTCATAAACTCCATGACCTGATACACCAGGTTTCCTAAAAAGATTTAAAATAAGTAGATCAACTGTAATGTTTAAAAGCTTTACTGAGACAAAATAAAAACTGGAAAAATTAATACTAACTACAAAATCTAAAAAACAAACAAAAATTAACCCCAATCATATTTTATTCAGTTTATCTAATAGAAAAAGAAGCTTCTGTTACAGCAGAAAGCCATAGGGAATAATGCACAGAATATGAATGTAATAGAATACTACTACGTTGAAATCAAAGAAGTTTCAGAGAAACTTGAGAAGACATATATAAACTGATATAGTATGAAGTAATCAGAATCAGAATAATTTATTCATCACTGTAAAGACAAAGTTCAAAAGATTTAGAACTATGATAAATATAATGACCAAGCATGATTCCAGAGATTCAATGAAGAAGTCTACTACTTACTTCCTACTGAATTGATGACATATATATGGATTGAGAAATATTTTTTGGACATAGCCAATATAGGAATTTGTTTTGCTTGAATGGACAAATAAGAAAATTTGTTACAAGAGTTGCTGTTGTCATTTTTCAGTTCTATCAGATTCTTCATGACCCCACGTGGGTTTTTTTGTTTGGCAAAGACAATGGATTGGTTTGCCATTCCTTTTTCCAGATCATTTTACAGATGAGGAAACTAAGGCAAATAGGGTTAAATGACTGGTTCAGGGTCATACTACTAATAAGTGTCTGAAGCCAAATTTGAGGTCATGAAGGTAAGTCTTACTGATTCCAAGTCTAGTTCTCTATTCACTGTGCCACCTAGTTGCCCATGTTCTAGGGGGAGACTCTAAAACTGTATGCTATGGGAAGCATTGGACGGGTTATGAACTATTCTATCAGAGGAAGTATCTATATGATTATTTTTTGCAGGGGTGAGGAGTGTACCCATATTAAAGAGTATGCAGATCCACTTAAATATGAGTAAAAATAAGGAGAGGGTTACGGGGAGGTGATTGTTGTGTCTAAACAAAATACATTAATAAATGATTTCCTTAAAAGAAAAATGGCATTATCCTATATGCCCAGTAAGGTTTAAAGAGCAAATGGAAGAAGGGTTCTCTATAGATGATGATGCTGGTACAAATGGTCCTATTTGCAGATGATGTTACAATGATTGTATCAAAGCTTAGAATACTACAAAGACTTCTAAAAGAGATATACAACCACTCAAAAGTCCAGCTTAACAATCCAAACAAGGTAAGTGAAGTAGACAAAATGAATGCCTACTTTTCAGACCAGAGGTCCGAACTTTTTTGATCATGCCACCCCATCAACAAGAAAATATTGAGCACATACACCCCCAAAATATGTAAATCTACTAGCTTATGAATTACATATATTACAAACATACTAATAATTATACTATAAAACAACACACACTAGAAATTTTTAAAAGATGATAGAAACAAGGAAAACATTTGTTCCTAGAGACAACAGGAAGCCACTAGAGTAAACTGAATAAGGGAATGACAGGGTCAGATCTTCAGGAAAATCACTTTAGCAGTTTTCACTTGTGCAGAAGATGGATTGGTAAAAGGAGGGAGAAAATTAGAACACTACTGAAATAGTTCAGGCAAGATGTGAATAGGGCTTAAACCAGGGTTGTAGCAATGTAAGTAGAAAGGAAGGGACAGATTTGAGAGATATGATGGTGTAAACAAGATTTGGCAACTAACCAGATACTGGCTTTAGTGAAAGTGAAGTGTTGCTTACAACACCAAGGTTGTGAATGTGAATGACTAGAAGGGCACTGATGCCCTCAATAAAAAAAGGAAAACTCAAAGAGGAGATGGGTTTGGGAGAAAATGTAATGAGATCTGCAATGCAGACTATAACCCATCCATACCTGTTCATTTAGTAGAACTTATTCTGTCCCACCGAAAATGAGAATTCTGGAATTCTACATTCAGTTAAGTATATCTTTCCTTTTCTCATTTTCCTTCTCTTTCCTTCTTTCCTCAGCTGTTTGTAAAGCCCCATCAGGCAGCCATTTTGTTTTCTTGCTCTTCTTTTTCTTTGGGATGTTTTTTGCTGCTGCCTCCTGTACAACACGACCTCTGTTCATAGTTCTTCAGGCACTCTATCTATCAGATCTAATCCCTTAAATCTATTCATCACCTTCACTTCATATTTATAAGGGATGTAATTTAGGTCATGACTATATGGTCTGATGGTTTTCTCTACTTTTTTCAAGTTAAGTCTGAATTTTGGAATCAGCTCATTATCCAAGCCACAGTCAGCTCCAGGTCTTGTTTTAACTGACCATATAGAGCTTCTCTACCTTTGGCTGCAAAGTATATAAGCAATTTGATTTCTATATTGACCATCTCATGAGGTCCATGTGTAAAAGAACCTTTTGGTGATTTGGCAAAAAAGAGTGTTTGCTCTCACCAATGAATTATCCCGGGGGCAGGAAGGAAGGGGGAAGAGGAGTACATAATAGAGCAGAGATCTAATCAGAAGGGCTTTAGACAAAAAATGTTGAGGCAAAGCATAAACTTATTTCAAAAGGAAGTTATTGTATTAGTCTATTAGCTGGTTAAGCTCATATATATGTATGCATACATACATACACATACATACATACATACATACATACAGCTCTAAAAATCTGACTGCCATCAAGTTTTGCTTAAATCTTAACATATAGCAAACAACTTCTAGCTTCTTCTAATGTGTGTTCTGATACTTAACTGGACTTCATTCCCAAAAAGCCTAATTTAGCATGGTTCTTCAACAAATATTCCTTTGCTTATTAAGTCCTCTCTAAGAATAACTTAACAGAACTGAACCCTGCTTATAGAGAAAAGCCCACAGACAGAAAAAGACATTTGGAATTAAGAGCCTTTCAAGGGATGATGGCAGTATCTAGGTAAATCAGAAGTACGCTTGCAGAAATTCTGTTTGGAAAAAAAAACCTTGTCTGAAGGTTGAAACTCAGAAAGGCCTCACATGATTCCTTAACAAGGAAAATGATAGATAACTGAACCCTGAGGAGATGATCACTGAGAGAATATATATACAGAAAAGAGAGGAAATAAGACATAGATTTTCACCCATTCCCTCATGACACTATAAAATCAAACCTATACACTTTCCTCAAAGTATTCAAGATTCAAAACTTAATTTTTCAGTTTTTTAAAGTTTCTATCATAAGCTCTTCATAGAAATAAATCAGAATACATTCACAGCAGTTACAGTGTCTTTATTTGAAATAAAATTTTAAAATATAAAATATTAAAAAAGTAAACCCGAGGAAGGAATTTTTTAATTAATAAAATATATTTCTCCTTCAACCAATAACTAGTTTTTTCTTTAAACAAAATAATATTTTGTGGGTCAACAGATTTTTTTTTAAAAGACACCATGGAAATGCTAGAGAAATGCACCATAATTTTAACATCACAATTTATGCCTAAATATCACATTTTATGGTTACTCAATTACCTTCAAATGTTCCCAGGTTAGGTCCTGTTTTTAAACTCCCTGTAACTATTTTTTATTATATAATAAGAGCTCTACTCTTAGAACTAAAAGTATCTGGAGAGAATGGATCATCAGATTGGGCCTATGGACCATATAGTAAGGAATACTTACAAGGTTTCACTTTTATCACCTCCAGGAAGAATCAGTCATAGTCAAATGAAATTGGACAAATTTATGCAAGGTGCCCTTCCAGGAACCCTACAAATTTTCTTTCTTTTCTATACTCTTTACTTCCTTAAGTCCAACCACCACACTTTCCCTAGATGCCTTTTTATCGACTCCCCAAAAGAATCTATTCCATGGCCCATTCTTGCTGTTATTTGGCAGCCAACTAATCTATTAAGACTTGCTGGATGTGAGTACCCTCCTCCCAATCCTCATCCCACTAACGATATGTAATTGTCTGCACTTATTCACATCTAACAAAATCCCTCAGCGTTGCTCCGTGGCTTTGGATGTTCTGAAACAAAATTAATGTAAGGTATGTCCAGCCTCAGAAATACTTATATTTGAAAAGGAGAAGATGAAAAAGGCTTTAAACTCAAAGCAATAATGCTATAATGAAGAAATGATAGGCTTTCTCTACATGGTAAAGCTACAGAATCATGGTGCTCTATGTTCAAGACTTAACATTATTTGGCTTTGCCATTATTTTAATACAATTAAGAAATACCTTTTCTTGAGGTTTGGTAACAAATTTTTTTTAAAAGAAATAAAAAAGGTCCCCTGGTTTCTAATAATATTGAATTAACTTTTAAATTATTCTTTGTGTGCTTAGAAATAAATATCTTGGAGTGTTACAATTCTGGAAGTTCAGATAAGCATTTTTTTATCTTCTACAAAGTACATGAATAATGATCATACTAATTTTTAAAATAACTTTAAATACTAAGCACTTACTTAAATATGGCCACTTTGTTGATGACATTCTCTAAGCCAGTTTCATTGTTTTCCTGTGGAAATAATATTTTTGTTATTTGCCTTTATATAATGTCATTCTTTTTCTGTTACTCACATGACAGAAATCTTCACAACTCTGTCAGACAACTATACTGCTCCATAAATAATCATAAAAAGTTAATCTGCAGTACAATAAAGAGGAAATTAAATTTTAGTTTTTTGGGCAAATTTTCTTAACCAAAATCTCAACTGTCTCAATCAGTTTCAGACAGCAATGTTATCAACCTTCTGGTAAAGTGTGACTTCATATAATTTTTTTATAAATTATCAGTTGATCAAGTATAAAGATCTTTTTGTTGCAAAGTATAAGGATGAATCAATAAGTAAGATGGATTTTCATTTTTATATACATTATTTGTCTCTAATGTTCATATTACCATATTACTTTTGAGTCTGAATATGTGGTATTCATATATTCTGCAATATAAGGTTGGAAACATCTTTGTTCATATTTCTGAAATAAAAGTATTTTGGTTTTTTAAATTTTCTTTTGAAATAAAAGTATTTTGAAGATATGCTTACATTCACCTTACTGATTTCCTCTTACATAATCTTCACCAATGGTAGTAAGCATACACAGCTATAATGTACTAATACCTATAAAATAAGGCTATAAAATACAGAATTCAACTTGTGATCTATACCAAAATGTAGATTTATGTAGATTTCAAATGTAATTCAAAATACTCTTTCTAACAAGCTTAAGCTATTATTTGTTGAATACAGGTTTCTAAATGTTCACTCTATGGATGCTATTTCACAAAAATCTGTTTATAATAAGAAAATTCAATGTTATTTCTTTAATTGACAAAAATAAGATTGGGTTATCTATAGTCTATCTCTCACAAAACCTGGAAATATATGCTTCTTTTAAAAAAAATATACATCTCTCAAGGTAAGATGGGGCAGCTACGTGGCACAGTGGATGAAATGCCAAGTCAGGAAGACTCATCTTCTTGAGTTTAAATTCGGCCTCACACACTAGCTGTGTGACCCTGGGCAAGTCACTTCACCCTGTTTGCCTCAGTCTCCTCATCTTTAAAATGAGCTGGAGAAGGAAATGGCAAACCACTCTAGTATCTTTGTCAAGAAAACCCCAAATGGGGTCACGAAGAGTTGGGGCACAACTAAAAAATGAATGACAAGGTAAGAAGTGAAAGATTTGAGGTGGCCCTGACTTATAAGCAAAACTGAGTCTTTAACTGAAGACTACTTTGATGAGTTTCTGAAATGTACCAGGAAAAATCACTCGTTATAACGACATTGTAAAGGAATACAAATAATCTGAACTAACAAACCATTGATTTGAGGAATATCTCTGTTCTACCTCTACAGAGGGAATAAAAAATAGAACCAATTACTTGACTACTTCACATTTAAGAATTTTTATTCTGATTCAAAATTAGCCTGGTTTAATTGAAAGAATATTGATTGCATTTGGAGTTGAGACATGGTTTTGAAGCTCACTCTAATGCATTCTGTGTGATTGTGGGCAAGTATGAGGAATTCTGAATTTCGGTCTTCTTTATCAGCAAAGTGAATATAATTATACTATCTATTGCATAGCACTATTATAAAGGAAAGCATTTTATAAACCTTAAACTACTATTAAATGATCATTTATTCTCTTAGTAGAAAAATAAATGGGTTATAATAACATTCTTTGAGATTACAACTTGGAAGATACATACATGTACTTTCAATATTCCAAAAAATCTTTGATTTTATTAGTTCAAATACTCCCTACACCAGCAGAGATCACAACTCCATCATGCTTCAGCAGAAAATTCTGAATTTGTGTCTAAAAAATGCAAATATTACATGGTGGTAAAACTTTTGAGATCTGTGTGTACACAGACATAAAGATATCATAATATTTCAGGAAAACTCCTTTTTCAGGAAGCCTTGATTTTATAATTAATAAAGGAGCAGGGGGCCTAAAAAGTGAAGAGTTTTTAATTAAAGGGCAAAAAAAACCTACTCACATTCTCTGGTAAGGATTTGGCAATGATACTGTGAGGCATGGGCTCAATGCAAAGTAGGTGGATAATTTCCCTCATAAGAACCTCTTCTTTGTTCACCTTACCCACTCCAGGCACATAACGCTCTCCTAATAAGAACAACAAAAGAAAAATGAAGAATGATACATGTTAGAACACCAGTACTATTTATTTAAATCATAATTGCCCATGTAGCAATTATAAAATAACATTTCACGAAATCTCAGCTTGTGTGGTAAATGATAAATGCTATTTGCAAAGATTCTCTAAATTTAAACCCTCTAGGATAGTAAGTACTTAATAATTACTCATTCATTCATCCAGCCAGTCAGTCATCTACCCATCCTTCAAACTACAAAGTCCCTTCAACTAAATTAGAAAATATTTCTAATTATGACAACCTCTAGTCAATTTAAATCAGGCACAGAGCACCTGAACAGTTGATATTACTGAACTGTTTCTTGTTCAAACACTTTACTAATCAATAACTTGTCCCCTGTCTGCCTCTTCTCAAAAAGGAATAAAATGACAATTCTTTTTTAAAAACCACTTTTTAAAGTACTTGGCAAGATAGCTTTATTACTGAACCACCACAACAATAACAACAAAAATAGGGACAGTCTGGTATTGCTATAGTTGCAACTTCACTAGCCCGAATTGTAAAAAGGAAGCCATGTAGTCAGATTCTTCATCACAGCCATCAATCACATGAGCCTATTAGCAGTAACAGGAAACCTCTCATGCTCCAACTGCCATCTAGATGTCCAGTTCCAGTTACCATTAGCAATACACACTGAAGCTTCTGTGGTGGTACTGTAATAGTGCCTGGCCTTGTCATGAGAGGGATCCCTTGCTGCAGTTCAGAAATCTACTCTAAAATAAATCATTTGTCCCACCATTAAACTTCCAATTCCCATGTGATAAGAGCAATCCTGAAGCACAACTCTGACGAAGTTACTTAATTGCTCCCAATATCTATACCCTAAGCATCCAACATGAGGTCCAACTGACCTTAGGAAATGAGCTACCTGAGATTTTTAGCAGAAAAATACTTAAATATCTAATACACAACTTGTAGGTCAATAGGGTTTAATTACCTGCCTGTCACTACTACTGTGTAATGGATACCAGGTATCATGACTGCAGGCTTGGCTCAGATAATAATTATAACTGCTCAGCCTGTTGAAATGCCATCTGTGTACTTTGTGTTCCCATAGACTTTATTTCAATTCTTCTATAACACTTACCACATTATAACAGTCTTCATTGTGCTACTATATTTTATGATATCTTTACATCATTTAAAGTTCCTCCATGTGTTCCCTCCTCTATTTAAATCTAGAGAGTAATTCCATATAACAAAGAATTTTTTTAAAAGAAAAAAAAAAGAAAATCAGCAAAACCTAGCTCCCTCTCTCTCTATATATATATATAAACCTAGCTCTCTCTCTCTCTCTCTCTCTCTCTATATATATATATATAACAACATATGTAATGTTCCACACTCATTGATCCCCCACCTCTGCAAAAGGGTAGGGTAAAGGTATCTCCTCATGTCTTCCTAGAGGCCAATCTTGTTCTTCATAATTACGCAATATTCATTTTTGTTAAGTGGTTGTTCTTTCAATTTACATTGCTGCAGTAGATGCCTAATAAATGACTGCTGACTACCTGTATTCTGGGTCTGCTTACTTCACTCTGAATCTTTCTTTCATGTAAGTCTTTCCATGCTTCTCTGTATTCATCATGTACACCATGGCTTCTTCTTGTTGTTCTTCCTGTCCAACTCTTCATGACCACATTTGGAGTTTTCTTGGCAAAGATACTGGAGTGGTTTTCATTTCCTTCTCCAGCTCATTTTACAGATGAGAAACTGAGGCAAACAGGATTAAGTGACTTATCCAGGGTTTCATAGCTAGTAAATGTCTAAGACTGGATTTGAACTCAGACCCTCCTGACTCCAGGGCTTGCACTCTATTCACTGTGTTACATAGCTACCCTACATCATTTCTTATAGCACAGTAATATTTCATTACATTCATGTGCCACAATTTGTTTGGCTATTTCCCAATTGATCTACTTTGTTTTCAATTCTTTGCTATCACAAAAAGTGCCCCTCTGCTACCAGTTATACTCTCCATAAGGACAAGGATGATGTTTTCTGCATCATGGCATACACAGTAAATGTGTGCTGAACTGAACAGACTTAGAATCACTGGATTCTATAATTTTGATTACATTAAATTGAAAAATTCTCATACAAACAAAGCCAATGCAACCAAGATTAGGAGGAAAGTAGAAAATTGGGAAAAAAATTTTTATAACCAGTGTTTCTGATAAGGGCCTCGTTTCTAAACTATACAGAGAATTAAGTCAAATTTATAAGAATATGTCATTCCCCAATTGATACATGGTCAAAGGATATGAATAGGCACTTCTCACATGAAGAAATTAAAGCCATCTATAGTCATATGAAAAAAATGCTCTAAATCACTACTGATTAGAGAAATGCAAATCAAAACAACTCTGAGGTACCATATCACACCTATCAGATTAGCCAACATGACAGAACAGGAAAATGATAACTGTTGCAGAAGATGTGGGAAAATTGGAACACTAATGCATTGCTGGTAGAGTTGTGAAATGATCCAACAATTTTGGAGAGCAATTTGGAACTATGCCCAAAGGGCTATAAAAATGTGCATACCCTTTGACCCAGCAATAGCACTTCTAGGGCTGTAGCCCAAAGAGATCATACAAATGGGAAAAGGACCCACATATACAAAAATATTTATAGCAGCTCTTTTTGTGGTGGCAAAGAATTGGAAATTGAGGGGATGCCCATCAATTGGGGAATGGCTGAACAAGTTGTGGTTCATGAATGTAATGGAATATTATTGTGCTATAAGAAATGATGAGCTGGCAGACTTCAGAAAAACCTGGAAAGACTTGTATGGACTGATACTGAGGGAAGTGAGCAGAACCAGGAGAATGAGCCACGTTGTGCGATGACTAACTCTGACAGACTTAGCCCTTCTCAGCAATGCAAGGATCTAAGACATCTCCAAAGGTCTCATGTTAGAAAATGCTATCCACATCCAAAGAAAGAACTATGGAGTTTGAATGCAGATCGAAGCATACTATTTGCTCTTTTTTTTTTCTTCTATTTTGTTTCGTTTCCTCTTTCTGGTGATTCTTCCTATTGGTTCTAATTCTTCCTTACAACATGACTAATGTGAAAATATGTTTAATAGGAATGTATATGTATAGCCTATATCAGATTGTGTGTCATCTTGGGAAGGGAGATAGGGAAGGAGTGGGAGAAAAATTTTAAACTCAAAAGCTTATGGAAGTGATTGTTGATAAATCAAAATAAATTAATTTAAAAAATAGAATCACTGAATCCTACAGTCATAAAGGCCCTTAGAGCTTATGTAACCCAACCTCATCATTTTACAAATTAGGCAACTGAAACCCAGGAAAAAAAACCAAAACTCTTTAAGGTCACAGAGCTAGCAGTAGCACCAGAGTGGTCAGCTATACCTCTGACCCTTATTCTAGGAGTCATTCATTACATTATAGCACACTGCCTTTTATTATGAAAACTCTTCTGAAGATATTTTGGCCACCAAATGAACTTATACCAAAAAATACATTAAGTCTTTTATCAATCATATTGGGGGTGGGGGTGGGGGAGCAATGAAGGGGGGCTGCCCAGACCTCTGATCTAAATGATGTTGGGAACTGCAGGTAAAGAAGCTTCCCTTACCAAGGCAGATAGAAAACTAGTCAGCAACTTTTAGTATTGGAGAGTTGCCTAAGGCAGAGAAGTCAAACATGGACATAGAGGCCTGAAATATGTGGAACTAGATTAAGATGCAATTGGAAAATATTTAACTAACTAAATAAAAAAACAAAAGAACATAGATAACGTTAGTATGTGGTTTCCTAAGTTATAGAGATCCTTGGATGGTTTAGAGACCCTTTTTCTATTTGAATTTCACATGAACAGCCTAAGACTTGAACTGAGGGCTTCCTGACTTGAACATTTGCTATCTCTCTACTATACCATATTGCCTCTCTTCTAGTCACATATTTCTGATTAAAAAAAAATAAAAATATTAAAAATGACAATAATATTATATTAAGAACTTTTCTCTTTATCTCCACTAAAGAAAAAGCAATTCCTAAAGTCTTAATAGTTTGGCAGTTTGGTCAATCTAAAAATGCCTTAAATGCCTAACTTTATATCTTAAATAATTCTATGACTATCTTTCTGAACTTTTCCTTTAGAATTTACTGCTCTCTTACCTTCAACCAGTAATGCCTATGTAATTTGTGGATTGGAGTTGAGTGAGGGAATACAGCACATACCTCTAAAGACCAAAATATTCAGTTCTTGTTTTGCGATGACAGCTTAACTACATCCTCTGCTGAAATATGTGATTACCTAGCAAATGGCTATTTGAAATAGATCAAGTATTAACAATAGCTCTCATGTATATGTGTTTTATACGTCATTTCATATATTTTATTTTATTTGATCCATCCAATCACTAGATAGGACAACTCGGTATTATTCTCATTTTCTAGATGAGGAGATTGAGGTTCAGAGAGATCACATGCCTTGGCACAGAGGTCACAGAGTTTGTCAGTAGAGGACTTGAGACTTGAACTAGTTTTCTAACGCCCACTTTCAGTGCTTTCTGCTCTACCCAAGCTGCCAAACAAGGAAACTGTCCTTGAATTTTAAATTCAGAACCTGCAAACTGATTTCTGTTAATCAAGGAATATTTAGCTTAACTGCAGCTATATTATGAAATTTCCATCTCTAACAGTCAATGTAAATGACCAAGACTACTGATGGTACAGACTACAGTTTTGCTTTCCCTGACCACCACTGATGGAAAAATGTCCAACATTTCCATGTCACTGTGATAGAAAACAATGAAAATAAAAGCGGAAGTAATATCTTACTTCTCATAATACCCACAATACCTTCAATATCTTCCCATGCCTAAAAAGCTGTCAACACCAGATTTGCAGGTTTTCTTCATCTAAGTTTTCCCCCCTTGAGACAAAGTATCATCAATCTTCAAGACACTTCTAAGTCAATTTACATCAAGCAACCAAAGGCAAATCTATAAATCCTATGCTTTCTGGCAGTGGCTACCTAAGCCTTTTAGTCACAATTTATCTTAAAATTAATGTTCTGCATTGCATTAGGAGAATGAATTGAATAAAATTGGAGCAACCTCATTAATTCTCCTTTTCAAAGCAGTAATATTCTACTTCAAAAATATTTGTTTTAATCTTGTTACCTCAAGATTCTTACCCACAATGTAGATGAGAAGCTGAAGCACTTCTTCTATTAGTGAATTATATTGTTTAACCACATCCTATAGAATTTTTAAAAAGAATAAATCAGTTACATTAGAACATAAGAACTGAAAAATGTCAGTTCAATGGTTCATTTATTTTCATATTTCCAGACTCTGATTATGGCACCAGGGCAATGATAATCAACCTCAAAAGGCTAAGGATGTACCCCCACATATTACTAGCTTTCTATAAAAGAATATTCAACAATGAAACTAATTCTAACTAACCTTTACTCCTTTCCTCTATTTTTAGTTTCTTCCTTCCCTGTTTGGAAGAGAAGTAGTTTCGGATTCAAGGCTGTTACCCATGGTGGCAGTATACTTTACTTAGTAAAAGTGGATATTGAGTTATAGCAAGTAAACATTACAATATATGATTAATTTTTTAAAAAAAGGTTGGTAATGTCTTGTCCTCTCATCTCATGTCATTTACAAGAGACCCCACATAGTTAAGTGGTGCTATTATATATATCCCAAATGACCAACTGGCATGGTAACCTCTAAATACTAATACAATGAAACCATGATAAAAGGATGTTCAATACTGATATCGATGGAATGACTTCAACTACCCTGTTCTGTTACTTACCTGGTCCTTGGAGGGGACAAGCTTCCTAAACGCATCAATCAGTTCATATCTCTGAAGTAACAATAACAAGAAGTTGTTGGGATCCATCAAAGATGCACCAATCTGTGTGATATACCCAGAAGCATACATAACCATAAAATTTTTCATCTGCTAATAACTGTGACTTAGTTTTCATATAACTGTCAGGAAAATTACAAAAGAAGCTAGTGTAAGATTATCCAGTAGCAATTTTCATCATTATTCTACCATATTCTGCACTAACAATGAAATAAAAGTTGATAAAATTAAGAAATAACTACAACAGCTTAAGTACAGAGATTTGAGGAGTAATAAGGCAATAAACACCAGTTATAATTAGAAAGAGATTACTACCTGAAGCATGATGATATCTTTGTCATACATTTCCTCTCTGCATTTAACATCTTGATAATAAAATACCTACAAGGTAAAAACAAGTAAATAGATGGAAAAGAAAGAAATTTTAATTAAGGTTAACAACAACAACACACAATTCTTACTAATCTGGAAACTGGAGAAGGAAATGGCAAACAACTCCAGTATACTGCCAAGAAAATCCCATGGACAGTATTAGCATGCTATGATTCACAGGGTCACAAAGAGCTGGACGCGGCTGAACAAGTGAACAACCACAACAGCAACCACAAATCTAGAAATTCTCTAAGGACAGGAAGAAGTTAGGGGAGCTGTACTAGCGGATAGGTCTCAATCCCCTTGCTCTTTCCTTTGGAGTTCATGAATCTTTACTGCTTATCATTTACTCTAGTCATATTTGAGGGCCAGCTCTCAAAGTTTTCCCTTCCCTTTAATAATAAAGAGCATGATACTGTAAGATAAATAGACTGTAAAGGGACAATTTTGAATATAAAAATTGTGACCTGCATGCAACTTAGCAAACACTTCTTAAGGAGCTCTTCTATGCAAAGTACTATCTTTGGGGAAAATATTTTGGATAGAACATGGCATTGTGCACCCTCCCCTCCCCCCCAACTCTGCTCGCCCACCAAGCTTAAAAAAAGATAACTAAACAAACAACAACAAATGATAGGTATATTAAGGAGTTGCAAACAAAGTACAATGGTGAGGCATAAGGGTGAAAGTCATTACTTTCTTCCTGAATCCCAGGGTGGACCAGGGAAGGTTTCTTGGAAGGGACGTTTGAGTTGGGCTTTAAAAAATAGAAAAGAATTCAATAGGCAAACCTGAGACAATCCATTTATTCTCATCAAAGTAGATTTTGTAAATCAGGATCAATGGCTTCATTTATTTAACAGAATGTAAACTCCCTGAGAACAGGAACTATTTCTTTTTTGCATTTGTATCCTGAGCCCTTTGTATAGTGGACGGCACAAAGCAGGTAATTAATACATGCTTGTTAAATGAACGAATTCAATATGTGAAATCATCCACCACTAAAGTCCTAGTTTGATCCTTGCTCATGATGTGGGCAAAGGCTCTTGAAAACTATGCCAGTAGAGCATAAGCTCGAGCAGGTCCTATTGATCAGGAAAGGCTTCAAAAATAGGCCTGGTAATACCCCATTTGTTGCTTGAGGGCTAGCCTCACTGTACATGTAGATTCATTTTTTTATTTAGTATTTTATTTTTCCCCAGTTACATGTAAAAACAATTTTTAACATTCATTTTTAAAACTTTTGAGTTCCAAATTCTCTCCCTTCCTCACTCCCCACCCCCACTCATTGAGAAGGCAAGCAATTCCATATAGGTTATACATGTATAGTCATGTAACATATATCCATAATAATCCACACTTAGATTCATTAATGAAAAAGGTTCAAAGACAGTTTAGATTCATCAACATGAAGAGCAGACTTTGGTGTGTACCTGACTAATTAAAGACAGACCATTTCTTCGCCACATATCAGCCCCAACTTGGGCAACCAAAACCAGACAACGCAAGGGATATTCTATCAGCAACTCCACTTGAAAATCTTCCTAAAAGAAGTAAACAGTGCACAAGATTAGCATTTTAATTTAAGTAAATTTATTTGTAGAGACAGGATTGTATTATTTTGGAGCTGCAGTGAAACTGCTAATACGTAGAGCAAGCAGCTTGGGAAAACTGGGAATGGACATAACCTATCCACTTCTTCCGCTGTTGTTCTTTTTGCCCTATCGGCCTGTAATAGCTTTGCTGGGAAAAAAATGGGAGATAATATAGGAGGAAGGGTGGCAGAATAACTTGCTTTCCTCTGGGATTACCCCTTAACAGATGGCAAGGTATGCTTAGAAGAGAAAAAATTCTAAGTGTAAAATGTACATTTTTATAAAAATTAATTTTTTTAAACCTAGAAATATGCCCCACAAGTAATGTGACATAGCTAGAAGGAGCCTTGGGTCCTAGTTCTAATTTTGTTAATAAGTGGCTTATGACTCTGGGCAACTTATCTGACCTCTCTAGGTTTCAACCTTCTCATCTTTAAAATGTGTAAGTTGAACTAAGGATTTCTCAGGTCAATTCTAGCTATAACATTCTAATGTAATTTCAACATGCCACACAGGATAACTTTCTAAGTAAGAATTTCTTTTTGGAGGGTGGGGCTAGGCAATGGGGTTAAGTGACTTGCCCAGGGTCACAAAGCTAGTGTCGAGTGTCTGAGGCTGGATTTGAACTCAGGTTCTAGGAGGACTCCAGGGCCGGTGCTCTCTCCACTGTGCCATCGAGCTGCTCCTCTAAGTGAGAATTTCAAGTGGATTTTCAAGCTATCCTTTTTTTTCTTCTTCACTGTTTCTTCACAATATTTCTTACTATTCATCAACTACGAAATGTTTAGAAATGAAAGATAAGAAAAATCAACACCTAAAGCAATTACTTACTGAAGGCACATATTCATGCAGTCTTGAAAAGGCTCCAATCTTACTTAAACGAACATGAAGACCTAAAACATGAAAGAAAAATGAGTATAACAAAATTCAACTAATATTGTTCAAGTCAAGTTGATACCTTCTGGACAATAAGGCAATCCTTTAAAAACTTTGCTTTTTATTGATAGGATTTATTTCCAAATACTCTTATCTTTGAATCTCTGACTCCATTTTTAATCAAGGTTATTAATAAATGCCAGTATAGTATAAAAGATTTAGAGCTAGATAGGAGTATAAAGATCATCAAATACAACCTCCTCTTTTATTTGATTACATTATTTAGATACTGAAGTCCAGAGAGGAACTTCTTCAAGGCCACACAGGTAGCAGGTGCCTGGGGAAAATATAAACTTAGGTTCTTCTCTAACTCCAAATCCAGCACTCATTATGTCACATGCCATTAATTATAATTTATAACTCTACATCACTCAAAAGCAATCAGTATTAAATAAATTTATGTGTGTACATATGTATATTACATATTATGTGTACAACAACAATAAATTTGACAAGTGATACGTTTATACATTATACAAAAAATATGGAGATCATTCTAAATTTAATCCACATTCAGAAGATATTAAAAAGGCACATAAAAATTTTTTTCTTTTTAAGATGACTTAGAATGTTGGTAGAAAATAATGTGATAATAAGGATTAAGTGCAAGGTCTTTCTATTATCACTTAAATGTTATAGATCGATAATCATTTTGCCCTGAAAACAGTCACCTAATGAGAATAAATCTAAAGACGTATAGACCATCAGGTGTGAAACAATCAGAATCTGACAGAAGGGAAATAAGGAGATAATATTTTGGAACTATCATCAATTTAAAAACCCCATCACAATTAGATTGAATGACTGAAAATAAGAATAAAAAAATAAGGATAAATGCAAGCATTTTTAAAAAATATTTTATTTTTTCCAATTACATGGAAAATTTTAACAATTGTTTTTAAAAATTTTAAGCTCTCCATTCTCTCTCTCCCTCCCCCCATCACATTAAGAAGGCAAGCAATTTTATACAGGTTATACATGTGTAATGATGCGAACATATTTCCTTATTAGTTACGTTGAGAAAGAAAACAAAAAAAAGCCAAGAAAAATTTAAAAAGCCAAAAAAAAAAATAGTATGCTATCTGCAGACTCCATCAGTTCTTTCTCTGGAGGTAGATAGCATTTTTCATCATGAGTCCTTTGGAATTATCTGAGATCATTACATTGCCGAGAATAGTTAAGTCATTCACATTTAATCATCATACAATATTGCTGTTACTGTGTACAATGTTCTCCTGGTTCTGTTCACCTCACTTTGCATCAGTTCATGTAAGTCTTTCCAGGTTTTTCTGAAAGCATCCTGTTCATTACTTCAAGTATTTTAGCAGGGAAGTATGGTGACATTAGCAGTATGATGGTCAAATTGGACAGTGGGAAGTATCAAGAAAAAACTATGTCTTTATTTCTGTTAAAATTTGATTAGGTGCAGGGCAGTGAGGTGGCATAGTGGATAGAGCACCGGCCCTGGATTCAGGAGGACCTGAGTTCAAATCCGACCTCAGATACATAACACTTCCTAGCTGTGTGACCCTGGGCAAGTCACTTAACCCCACTGCCTAACCAAAAAACAAAACCAAAAAAAACAAAAACAAAAACAAAAACAAATTTGATTAGGTGCATAAAATTGAATAGTAATTCTCAACAGCGTAATGTGAAAAGTTCTTACAGATGGTTTACAGTATGTTAAGTTAAAGAAAGTAAGGGGCTCAAGATAGAACTGGGGAGCAGCTAGGTGGCACAGTGGATAGAGCACAGCCTTAAAGTCAGGAGGACCTGAGTTCAAATCCGGCCTCAGACCAAACACTTGACACTAGCTGTGTGACCCTGGGCAAATAAACTTAACCCCAATTGACTAAAATAAATAAATAAATAAATGTAGCTTACTGTGCTGAATTAAATTAAAAAAAAAAAAGATAGAACTGGGCAAGCAGCAATGTATGGCATACAGTATTAGGTGAGAAGCAGCACAGCTTCTCGCTGTGGATAGAAAGCTGGGCTCATAACACTCCAATCCTGCCTTCAATATCTACTGATTGTGTGACCCTGGGCAAATCATTTAACTTCTCAGGGCCCAGGGCAAAACTCTAATACTCTAAGCTGCATTGATGGCATATATTGATAGGAGTTACATTTACAAGAGTTGATATGCTGATGAAATCATAAGACTGACTGATAAAAAAATCAGCCAACCCATATTGGGCATGGTCTGAGCAGAGGCAAATGTCCAAATGACTAGCTGCTAGATTAAAATGGTCTATTGATCCAAAAAGTTTGAATGCTGCTATTTAACAGTATCTCAAAGACATAATTATGCCTCTTTAGGTCCATTAAGTCCAATCCAATTTTACTGAAGTAGATTAATAAGTGGAATGAAAAGTCAGACTATTAAAATTGGAAGTAGACCTTCAAGTTCTTGATAAATTCAGGAAACCATCTAACTCAATGCAAATGATAAGAAAAAGAAAGTTATATAAAATTTTAAGTAGCGAAGGCCACTAGTCAGAGAGTTTTAACTATGGTGTCAAGAAGGGAACTGAGTATCCTCCTGAATTTTCAAAAACCTTTTTTCTTCCCTTATCAGGTCATTGATCAATTGCTCAAAGTGCCAGGCATATGATATCCCCAGTTTCCTATGTGACAGTTTCCTAAGTCACAGTACATGTAAGTAGGAATATAAGCTACTTGAGATCTCACTGGATGGATAGCTAGAGATATAGAGAGACAGAGAGATATAGGTACAGAACTATCTACAGAGATATAGATAGATCTCTATAGAAAGACAGATATGTAGAAATGAATATACACACACATACCTTTAAGGAGATGTATAGATATATAGCTATACATGTTCATATAGAGAGACAGAGAGAGAGAGGTATTTAGATAGAACTCTCTCTCTAGTCAATTTGTGCTTAACTTCTACAATAAAAAGAACTAGGATATGCTTCTAGACTGACATTTGGAACACAGTTTTCTGAATTAAAAAGAACTTTCTGAATAAAGACCTATTCTGGAAGCAAGAGGAGGTTTTATCACTTTGAGCACACAAAAACCAAAGATCATGTAACAAGTCTGAAAGATACTCACCAGCAAGTGTCCTGGAGAGCGGCAAATGTATACTGACAGGATCTACAGACACCTTGTAGGGCTTAAATTCCAAAGTGTGGCCATACAAATAAATTACAGACTTTTCATGAGAAATGTTACTTAAAGTACATTTCATCACAGCTTCAAAACAGTCTTTATAAGCCACTAATAACAGCTCTTCCTAAAAACAAACAAAAATACAAGAATGTTAACAAGACAGTCATTTAATTCTGTTCAGCAAAAATCTGCTAAACATCAACCACATGTAAAGAGCACTATGCAGGGTACTTGGGAAGAAAGAAAAACAAAATTTAGATAAGATACGGTTCTTTACCATCTAGCTGGGGAATATGACATACACAAATAACTAAAATACAACAAAAGTTCCTTAGATAACTATAAAACAAAGCACTTTGTGAGGTGAGTAAAGGGTTGTTATTGACTTAGGAAGGAGTGGGGAACAGCTTCTGGAAGAAGGCAACATTTGAGTCAAGCTGGGTAAGAAGTGAAAACAGGCAAAGATGGAGGACATTTAAGGTATACAATACAATTTTGAATGAGCTCAAAAGGCAAGAGCAGAAAACACAGAGACAAGAAAGGACAGGGCATATTCAAGAGATAAAGGGTGGTCTACTTGGCTACAAGTACATAAGTCCATAGTGGGCAACTAAGATGGTAAAGGACCTACAGAAAGTGATATATGAGGATCACTTGAAGATGTTGGGGATGTTTTGCCTGTAAAGAGAACATTTACTAAAATATAACAGTCATCATCAAGTATTTGAAAGGCTATTAAATCAAAGAGGAGTTAGATATGATCTTCTTGGCAATGGAGGGCTAAATAAGTAGCAACGGATAGAAGTTTTAATGAGGAAAATTTAGGCTTGCTCTAAGAAAATCTTCCTGACGACTTAAAACTATCCAAAAGTGGAATGGTCTGCTTTTGGAGGTAGTATATTCAACCTCCCAAAAAGCACTGAAGTAAAGGTTGGGCGGCCACTTATAGGATAAGTTAGAGGGCACTTTTGGATGAGACAGCCTTTGCGGTCCCTTCCAAATCTTTGGTAGGAGTAATATAAGACCTGAAAGGTAGAGTGATAACATACTGTGGGGGAGGGCTTGGGGGGGAATGGTGGGGCCTTAAAAACCAGGTAAAAGAATGTGAACTTTGTTCAGTAGGTAATGGGGAATCAATGAAGATTTCTGAGTAGAGGAGCAATACAAGTAAATCATTAGATAGCCTAAAAGGGTGAGAGAATAGGATAAAAAAGGCTTGTTCGGAGGTTAATAAAATAAACAGTCCAAGTAAGTAGTAATGATAACCTGTTTTATGGTGCTGGCACTAAGATGAAAAAGAAGAGGAATGACTATAAGAGATGTCATGGGGGCGGAACTCATAGATCTTGGTAATCAACTGGCTATGAGAGGCGAGGGAGAGGAAAAAAGTCAAAGATAACACCAGGTTTCAAACCTTGGAAACTGGGTGAATACCACTGATGTAAAAAGTGATGTCAGAAGGAAGAAAAGGTTCAAAGTAAAGAAAATAAGCTCCCTGTTGGATAGGTGGCATTCATTCATTCATTCAACAAATATTTAATGAATTCTTACTATGTACAAAGCACAGTGTTAGACTGTCTTATGAATACAAAGAAAGTCACTGCATTTATGGGTAGTCTGAATCTCTAAAAAAGACAAGAAATGTACAAAAATAAATCAAATATAAGGTAGTATGTGTGAATTGCCACATAAACAATACAAATTAAGTGCTAAAGAATAGAAGTAGCAACAACTTCCAGCTGGGATAAGAGTAAGAGTTACAAAATAGGTGGCATTTGAGCTCGGCCTAAAAGGATAGGTATAATTTAATAAGATGGAAAGAGAAAGGGAGGGTATTCCAGTAGGGAAAAACTTGAGCAAAGACATAAAACAGAAAAAAAATCTCATAATAAGATTTACTTACATCAGAAGCACACCATTCTTGGAACATTAAAAGAATGTTTTTCAACTGCATCTGAATAGCAATAGCAGCCTCCCAGTCTGGCTCCACTTCAATGTGCTGCCCTACTTGCCTTTTGATCTCTTCCATTCCCTGAGAATAAAACCCAACAATACACACACACACACACACACACACACACACGCACACACACACAGAGTTTTAAAATATAGCTATAGATATAGATACATACAAACACATACCCACACTTATACATGTATATATGTGTATGTGCCTGTGTGTGTGTGTATAAAAACATGGTTGTTCTCTCTTCTGTGATCTTTTTTTAAAGGTATTATTGTCACAATTCAAAGAAATACATTTTAACAGAAAAATGAATAATAAAAATGCCTTTAATTTACATAAACTGAATATCCTAGAGAATTTAAAAAAAAAAGACTGGTTCATTTTATAAAGAGCTAAAGTGAAATACTAACAGAACTATTAAAGGAGTACATAATGGAAATTCTATTTGGGGACACGTTATAAACTTCTATTTTGTTCTTTCTCAATTAAGGTAATTATCTTCAAAATAAAAAACATAAATAATTTCAAATATTTATAGGATCAGGGCTCTGTATCTGGAAGAAACCTCAGGTCATCCAGTCCAACTCCTTTATTTTATAGATGAGGAAACTGAGTTTATGGGAGGTTAAGTGACTTGCCCAAGGTCACACAGGTAGTATCAGAGGCAGGATTTGAAAATCCAGATTGTTTGATTCTAGAGTTAGCATTCTTTCCCTTACACTAGGCTGCCTCCTACATACAGTAAGAAAAGAAAACTTGTCATACATGATCCTCAAAGATAAAAAGACCAGAATGATTTTAGACAGATTTAATATCATTCCTCTATGTGTCTTCCATTAATGATGACCAGAGATTAAATAAAGTACCTGCATGCATGCAAGAATCTTCAGGAAGGATCGAAAACCTTCAAGAAATTGTATTTTTAATTTATCTGACCATATTGCGGGCTTACTGATAAGGACATACCTGTTTCAAAAGACAAGGAAATATGTTACTTACCTACCTAGAGATAATTTTATAGTTCACGAGGTTACAAACACTATCATTAACATTCTTTATTTAAATAAAGCAACAAAAAAAACCACCATCTCATTTATTGCAATAATCTGAAACTCCAGCAAACAGGGATTTGGATATGCTAATTTATTTTCTGGCTGATAAATGAATATGTGATTCATAATATGGCTAAGTGAATATGAGCATTATGATAAGTGAATATGAGCATTCAGGCAAATGTCAAACAAGGAAGAAAATATACCTACACACCATATCCGGTGAGACAGGTATGGTTTCTTAACTGGGCTACTAACTCAACCTAATAAAAGCTTCCACACAGATTTCCTAGGTTGAATATAATACAAACCTATATTCTGCTAAATGGAGAGATGGCTTACAGGCTTGCTATAAAGAGGCAAAAAAAGGAATTGGCAGGAATGGTTTTATCACACAGAAAAGAGGCATTATTTCATGAGATACTTGGTTATCCAAATGACCTAGTACTTACGGTATGCATTTGCAAAAAAGATTACCATAAAAATAACTGCCATTTACGTGCAGATTCTGTTGCAGAAGGTGAGGAGACAGCAATCCTATGGAAAACTTCGTAGGGATACCCTGATTCAAAGAACTTCTAAGACACTCAAGACATACACTAATACCCTGTGTTTTCAATGCAAATGTCAGCATATGTTGTAAAACCTTGTTCAGGAATAAGAAAAGAAAGGGGCCAAAAACTATTCAGAAACCACATTCCTGTGGCCTATACAGCTCAAAAACTTTCTTTAAAAGAATCAGGAGGTGTGAAACATGGCAAGCATTAAATAACATAAAAAAATGTAATTGATTAGATTCTAATACCAGAAATGACTGGTTATCAATGAGGGAGTCATTTTCAAATCAGCAATATATGTTCAAATTTGTCAAAGCAAAGATCAAAATTAATACCAAAAATAAGGAGACAGAGCATGTAGTTGAGGCAGCTCCAAAATGACCTATTTAAACAAGCTGATGGTGCTACAAAAAAAAAAAAAGGTGGAGGAAGAAATGGAAAAAAGAATAATCACCAAACTACCATCCCACAATTTCTTAATGAAGTTTAATTAATGTAAAGCAATCACTAAAAAGAGAAGACTAAAAGAGCCTAGAAATTACCTCAGTCAGCAAATATTTTGTTTCTTTGACAAGATATTTATAGTAGTCAAGGGCAACACTGGTCTAGAATATAAAATCAACTGCAAATATTATCTTAAAAAATAACAAGAAAAAAACAGAAGGGAAATGTTTAGAGAAAGCTTGGTACACAGTCAAAAAAAAGTGAAAAGATATAACCTAATTTTCTTCTTTTCTTTTTTCTTTTCCTTTAGGAAAAAAAAAACCATTAAATTCTTATACATATAGACAACTTATCCATCACTGCTTACCTAGCAGTTAGGATACTGGAAGGAAAAAGCATGAACACACAATACTGACTGATCAAATTCAATGATGCCCAAAGGAACTAAGTGTGTGTTTCAATGTCAGTTTGGAAGAAGTTGAAGAGATCCAAGGGATCCAAGCTCCATACTCCATACATCCAAGCTTTGGAGAAGGAGAAAACCTTGTTACAGCCTGACTGTCTCCTTGATAACACACTGAAGCTTGTCCACGGGTTCAGAAGCAGGGTTGTTCTAATTGCTATAGAGAAGAGTTTCTCAAAACCACCTGCATCAGCAGGTTTCCTGCCCTTGTGGCCCACTGTTCAACAGAGCATCACTTGGAATTGGAGTTGTCACAAGGAAAGTTCTCTTGGTTGCTCTCTATGACCAGCAATTTCTCCCTGCTAGCCAATTTAGGCACAATGAAACTACGATGCAACAAGGCAAAATTATCCCAGTTATGAATATGGACATGGACACACAGCAATCCTTTGTTTCTTACTCTTCTGCTAATAAAATCCTATGTAACAAAATATATTCATGGTTGATCTCAAAGGGAGAAATAAAGTAAGAATACATACTACTTAAAAGATAACCCACACCATTTCCCAAAATCAACTTACTTGAGGTCACATATAACTGCATATACCCTTCCCAATTTGTCCTGGCTGTAACCCTGGAAGTTGAATTTGTTGTTCTTGTCCAAGTATTCTGGTAAAACTTCTAGCAGTGTTTCAGTAATGACAGAGATAACATTCTGCTCTTCAATGAGATGACGAGCCTACACAGTATTTCAATAATACTGACTTTAATATTAAGCCCTCATATGTACATCATTTATTTATTCAGCAAATTTTAGAAAACAAAGTCAGCACTCAACCTAAAAATCCTCATCCTTACCACCATAAGACCCATTAGAGAAGGAGCAAATAGAGAACCAGGTTATATACTCATTATCAGGGTGTTGTGTAAGGAACAGTACAGAAAACAGACATACCTTTCAAAACTGACTACGTAAGGATCTGCTCTAAAACTATCACCTTTGCTTATAATCACAGAATTAAGATTTAGAACCAGGAAGAAGTAGAAATCATCTGTCCAACCCCTCTGAAACCCAGAAGTTAAGTGACTTTCCCAAGTAAAAAAATTGGGCTTTGAATTCAGGTCCACTAACTTCCGATCTAACATTCTTTCCATTGAATCATGCTTCCTATTCTGCTTCTTCCAACTATTATCCAGTTTACTGAAAATACATAAAGAGAACAGAGATGATCTCTCAGGAGACACTAAGGAAAGCAGAGCTCTCTGTTCTTGAGGGCTAGATACCATAATCCCCAACAACTGGAAACCTTCAGCAAGTTTCCTTCTTATCCTGGCTTTTTATTCCAAAACAAACAAAAAAATTTAGGAATGAAAGAATGTTTAACAAAAACAAATTTTTCACATGCAGAAATACATATGCACACACATTCAGAAAGCAGGTCTGATTTAACTGTATGGGCCCAGAATGGCTACGTGGACCCTGACAGAATCCTCACATCCATTTCCAGGAAAGCTTGTACTCAGGTATTTATGTAGTTTGGGTGGCAAGTAGATGAGTGGCAATTTTATTGATTGCTTTAATTTTAAGAAAATGTAAAAGTTAACATGAACAATGAAGAGTAGGAACAAAGCAGTAACCTGTACATACCAGAGTAGGAACAGTAAACATCTGAACTGATAATGAAGTCACAGAGAGACTTCTATCATGATCATCACTGATGTAGTCTTTCTGCAGTGGTTTATAAAACTGAAAGATTTTTAGAGAATCTGGATTACCAACCATTATTAGAAACTTTTCAAATCATTGAATTTAACTAATATACAGAGACAACAATATCAGAAACATCAAAAAACCTGAATTCTATCCCTAGGCCTATCATCCTCATGTGCCCCTAAGTTCTACATCTATAGGGCTAAACTAAACATAATCTTTATTTACTAGAAATATTGTGCTGATTAATAACATTTTGAAAGCACCTGGAAAAGATGCATAAATATTAGTTTGATGACCGAAAGCAACGAATCTGAGAACTATGAAATAACCCAGAGGCAGCTTCAAAGAGTTAGGATTGGGTGGATCCTCCCTATACCCATAGGATCTGAGGATGTACTCAGCAGAGAACAAGAGGTTTCCTCTTCGTGTCTGTTGAGGATTATTAAGTTCATAATAAAAATACCTTTTAGAGTTTTTTTTTTTAAACAAAAACGAATTTCCTAAAGTGATGAGGAATCCCTATGGAGAATAGGTAACTTTAGAATTGAGGAGTAAAGTAAGTAAGGAAGTAAGGCAGCATGTATATGCTAGTAATTATTCAGAATGTGGCTTAATATTCAGAATTCTAATTTGAAAGTAAGACAACAACTGGGGGCAGTTGCAAGGTAGAAATCATCCTTTTACTCCTTACAAAGTCAATCTGTTACTGTAGGGATGGGCCCTTCTATGTACCTAACTTCTTGGGGATAAACCACTGAAATAGAGTCTTCACAAAACTGACTCAGAATTCTAGGCCTATCATTTTAAAAATTTGCATTCATAAGATGTGGCCATGGTGTTAGATCCAAACAAATATCATCTATAGGGGAGACAAGCCTTTACCTAAAAATTATACTGGCCACATTCATGTTCAACATTCTGCCTGATAATGGCAAAAAGGGGTATGTTTTAGAACAACATGACTGCCTTCCTTGCTATCAACCTCAAAATTCAAGGGTGTATCCCAAAAGATCCTAGCTTATTCTTAATGATAGATCATGTTATGGATTGGTTATTCATAAGTTCACTCTTCTTGCACAGATTTCAACTTGTAATTTTGGCCTATCTCACCATACTCTCTATACTTGTCTACCACAATCTTCATTCCACCTTCAACTTCCAATCTCAGCCTGACTCTTTTTCTTGGCTCAGTCTCAGGACTCTTAGAACTGCTTAAAAATCAAAATTGAATCAACTAATATTTATTGAACACCTACTATGTGTAAAGTCTATGGAGGGTAAAAGGAATATAAGACCCAGTCCCTGATCTTAAGGAGCTTATAGTCTAGTTGAGAAAACAAATTATAAATGTGTGAAAAAGTAAGCAATAATGCAAGAAATAAATAAAGGAGATAAAGAGTACTGGGTGAAACCTCTGTGGAAGATTTAAGGAAAGAGAGACAGAGACAAAAAACTGTATCAATGGAAGAAATATCCACACCAATAAAAGCATAGATCTATCAGAGTATAACAGTGGAGGAGATAGGATTAAAGCTCCCCTTTTCATTTTAGCCTTGAAAATACAAGAGTAATTTTAGTGCCTAACCCGATTCCTGTTTCTAAGTTTTATAAGTTTTCCTCCCCTTAATCTCAAACTATTTCTCTAATTCATCTTCTGCCTCAACACATTAACGAATGAAGAGATTAAGTAGATTGAGTATTTATGCAAATATCCTCCCCTTACAAGGTTTTGTGTTCCCTACAGGAAACCATTTATGAGACTATCAGATGCTGAAAGTAAACAATAAAAATGAACTATAAAAATTTTCAGAAGTACTCAACTCCTGTTTCTATTCTTTTACTTATAAAAACCACCATATTCATAGCCACAGACTAATACTTCCATACAGATAGAGATAACAGACCTTCACAAATTCCATGGCAAAGAGTTTTTTATATTCTATTTCCATGAAAAAACTGCTGAAGATCAATTCATGAAGTATCTTACGTGCACCTGTAAAAAATAACATTTTATGGGGGTAGAAGGCAGGAAAATTTTCCAGGATATTCTAAAAATAATAAACATGCTAACAGGCCTCATGCAAAATATTAATTCACCATTGTTAATAAAATAAAGCCATAAATGCAGTTTTTCTTGTTTTCTCCAAATACCAGCATTTCTATAACTCTTCAATTTATTTTAATGTCCTCACTTAGCCTTTCCTCTTATTTCATATTTATATAATGAATGTGGATTTATTAAAAATATGAAAGAAATAGCCTTTCTTGAACAGCCCCTTCTTTTTTCTGATTTTATCACCATCATTCTTCTTTTCCTCTGTCCTCTCCTTTACTTTTTTCTCCCTCATGAAGAATTTTTCAAGAGTAACTTGAATAAGATCAATGAAGGACTACCATATGAATACATGACTAACAGAGGACTGAAGAGAAATTGAGGTTAGAGAAATACAAGCTTGATAACTGAGCTTAGCCTAAAAGAATATCCCCCTTCACCAACAAATGACTAAATAATTTCTTTACCTTAAGGTATCCAAGCATTTTAAAATCAACAAAGTCAGTCAATTTATTATTGAGGGAAGTACTTGTTAAAATGGATTATGGCTCTTATTCAAAGCATAAGATCTACCCACCTTTATAAAGCTTTGCATCCCAAAGCATTAACTTGCTTATGTGGCAGGGATCATTAGGAACATCTTCTTGGAGGCAGGCCTGGCAGAAGATCTGCCGAAAATCACCTGGGAAAGAAAAGTCGATGCAAACATTCACACTTTACTCAATCCTTCTCCAAAAACACATAGTCCAGATTGTCTTTAAATATTATAATAATTACTAGTGTCAAAATAATAGTCAGATATTAACAATTGGCTGCTTTATTTTAAGGAATTAAGAACCAATTAAGAAAACAATTAAGGATCTATTAAAAATACAAGATATGACCCTGAAAATATATCAAAAGTTTAACAAAGGAGGAAATAGATTAATATAATCACCTTAATTTCAAAAATAGTCTATTCAATCATATTTTAAAGCCATGGGTAAGAAAAGAATGTTTATAAGGAATATAAAGGAATATGTGCTTACTTGAATAGCTCATAAGTTTGTTCAACCAGGTGCCAAGGCGCAAAGCAAATTTCTGATGAGCCATAACATCAGCATGTAGAACTTCTACATGAAGTGGATGCTGAGAAACATTTTCTGAATGAAACTAGAGATATACAAAATAATTAAAGAAAACAAAGAACAGATTGTTAGGAAAACTTAAAGCATAACTCAAACTGCCTTCAGACTTTAATTTAAACAACAGAATCTTATAATTTGTTGAATTCATCTAAAATGTATCTCAATTGCTTTTCATCTTTATTTAATTCCTTCCTTCTAAAGTCAATTTCCTGTTCACGAGGATTATGGCAAGTGGGGAAAGAAGAACAGAACACGTTAACCAGTGAGCCCTCAAGCTTCCAGGAGGCCGTGATCATATCAGTTTGATTTAGCTTTATTCTGTGGGGTGTCCTGTTGCCCCTCCTATAACTATCTCCTCTGGACCACAACTCTCAACTTCCCCTCCACCGACACAGTTCTCTCATGGTTCCCTTTGTATGTTCAAATACTTGGAAATTACCTTGATACTTTCCTTTGCTTCTCGACAATGAACACAAGATCCTAGTTTAACAGCCCGACGACCCTAATTATAAACAAAATTTGGAGGATTATTAAATAATGGAGTGACATCAACACTAAGTGACACTGGCACTAAAAATCTAAGAAACTATGAATTATTAAAACTTGCTTGCTGAAGCCAAGACCAAAGATGAGTCTGTCTCTACCAAGTTCACTTGAAATTCTAAAAAGGAAAAGTGAAGGCTGGTGGCTATATAGCCCAAGACTCTCTAATCCTATGGCTTCGGATGTTAACAGGATCAGAACTGCAACTTTTTCTTAAGTTTGTGGTGTCTTTTATGAAAGTAATAGACTCTGTGTTAAACCTGCCTAAGAAATGAGTACTGGGCCCAGAGTTCCCTGAGCTTCACAGACTTGTGGCTATGAAAAGTCACTGAAGTGTAGCAGCACGCTGATCCTCACACCATCTAGAACTCACACAAATTATAGAGTTGGTTAGTCCCTCAAAAGTTATCTAGTTCACCCCCATCCAAAGTGCAAGTCCCTTCTTCAACATCCCAGGGAAGTAGTCAGTGAGTCTCTACTTGGAAGATCTCAAGTGACTGAAAACTCACTTCTCTGCCAGATTATTATTACTACTTTATGAAAAAGTTTGGAGGTGGTGAGAGAAACATAGCTGTCTTCAAATATATGAAGGGCTATCAACTGAAAGAGGAAATCAGATAGTCCCAGTTTCTGAAACTGATTCTTATATGGCATAACTTCCAGGCCTTTTACCATTCTATTTGCCTCTGGGATGGCACACGAAAAGATGGGCTTTATATCCTGGAGAATATATTTTAAACCATTTCTTTCAAAGTCTCATTGAAGCTGGCATCTGTGATTTGTAAATGTTAATAATTACTGCTAAACAAATTAGGTACCACATTCTACTGTGTGGGCCAAAGTTTAATATAAAGCAATCACTTGGCTATAACATAGTCAGTCATTAAAAGAGTTTAAATGCTTTTAAACCATTAGATTAGATTAGATATTAGAAGACAATGTTGTCCCTTAATATTTACATTCTTTTTAAAAGTAATTTGATAGCACACCTAAGGGAAAAGTTGATTGCATTTCAGGAGAAATAAACATAACATAAAGAAATAATTTATATCACATATACATATATACAAGACTTTTAAAACATGCATTAAAAAGTTAGAAATTCGATTGCTGTCAACTATGTAAAATACAGTATGCTTAACTCTTGATTACTCAGGAGCCGATTATTCAACATAAAGACTATTGAACACTTTTTGCTTCTGCTCTTCCCTTTTGCGAGTTGCGTTTTGATCCTTTTATAGTTACTACCTCCATAAGCAGCACAGAAATATAAGAGGAAAAAAATTAAACATTCTTGTTTAGAATGCCTGTGACACGAATAGCGTGAGGAAAACAGAAATCTTTCATGTGTAAATAGTATGTTTTCCCAATCATATTACAAATAGCTCAAAAGCAGGGACTAGTTCTTCTACTGTTTCTTTAACTCCCCTAGAATTTAATGAATAGAACAGGTAGAGTAAACAATGAATGCTTAATATTGAATAAATCATTTAAAATTATTCAAAATTAGTACTCGGTGATATAAAAATTAAACAACTTCATATATTAAAGAAAATAAACTAAAGCAAAGCAACAACAGCAGGTTTACTTGATCTGTTTTTCCATTATATTAAAATCTGCTACATATATAATCTGGGGTGTTACTAAATATACTCGTCTTAATTACCAACATAATAGAAAAAAGACTGGGAGTAAGATTATTCAAAATCTCAGATCAAAAGAACTAACTATTTGGTGAAATTTTTCTTCTTATTTAATTATTCTAGGAGAGTTAATAGGATATGAAGGTTAAATTAAAAGAATGCTAGTAATAATAAAGGTAGTAAATGGTAAATAAATATCTATTGGACTGCTGACTATCACACAGGATAATGTAACTGTAACGTATTAACATTTCACTAACCTCTTTGTCTATGGCAGTGGTATGCAATTGAGCTTCTGTAAGTTCACATTTAAGGGCTTTCTGTAGACTATATATAACATGGTCATAAGAATGGTGTTCATCATTGAAAAGGACACAATAATATCTTTCAGTTTTCGCCCTAATAAAGAAAAATTGAGACAATTAGATAATCAAAGGAAAACATGTAAAATACACTTGGCATACATATACAAATAAAACATAAGAAAATTCCATTATTCACAGTCAGATTATGGCATTAAACTTACCCTCATAAAACTTTTTAGGTTTTAAGTCAAGCAATCAACAAGCATTTATTAAATGCCTACCATGAGACAGCAGTGTGAGACAATGCAAAGAACAATGTATCTGAAGTCAGAGGATTTGGGCTCAAACCTCAAATCTGTTGTCTATTAGCTGTGAAATTTTGAGAAAGTCAAATAATTTCCACGGTCCTCAGTTTCATCATATGTAAAACGAGGGGTTTGGAATCGCTGGTCTCTGAGATCCCGTCCAGCCCAACATCGGGATCCTAAAAATGTCATGCTAGACTCTAAGCTAGGGGCTGAAGATACTAAACAAAAATGAAGTGCCTCCTGCCCTCAAGAAGCTCACCTTCTATTAAGGGAAACGATATGTACACAGAAATACATAAAGGACGTATACAAAATAAATGTAAGACTATTGGGGGATGGAGGACACAAGCAATTGAGGGGTATGAAGAAAGGCTCCATTTAGAAAGCGGTGCTTCAGCAGAAGCTTGGAATAAGAGGATCTAAGAAAGGGAAATAAGAAAGGAGGGTGTTCAAGGCCTGGGGAAAAGTGAGAGAGAAGGAAAAGGCTCAAGATCTGGAACGCCATGTGTAAGGAACAGTAAGTAGGCCAGTTTGACTGGATGACAGAGGACAGGAAGAGGAGTAACATAAAATAATTAGGTGGGAGCCAGGTTGCAAATGCCAAATAATAAGTGACGTTATCACCTATCCTACATTAAGTACTTGACGTACAGTATCCTTTATTCTTTTTGCCTTTATTCCCCCATTCAAATTGTCTGACAAGTAGTTTCGAGACTAGAAATAGTTAATGTTCTTTTAACTAAAGTGCCTCATTACCACTGTGGTGCTACCAATATTACTGCCTTCCCAGCTTCTTCTCCCATTGTCATCCCACTACGCCTTGAGGTTATAAACCAAGAATACATGAAGTTCAGAAGGCAGCTATACTCAGATTTGGGCTTTCAAAGTCTAACTTAAATGACATACCTTTGATGAAATCTTCAAAAATTTTTTTTATTATGAACTTAAACACCCAAAGGGGAAGTATTTCCATATACACAGCAGAACACAAAAAGAGGACTGTATATGAAATTGTGAATTTCCATTACATAGCACCTGGACTTTTAAAAGTATATGATAAATTCTTTGCATTACTTTTAAATCTGTTCTGTTTGTGCTTCCTTCTGTTCTCTTCTGTACATTTCAAAAATGTTTCAATGACTCTTTTTTTGGCATCAGTATTAGTATCCCTTAACTTCCCCCTACCAATTACAAAAAACCCAGGGGGAAAAAGAGCCAAAATCCTATAACAAATAAGCACAGTCAAGAAAAATAAGACCACAAATGGCCATGTCCCAAAATGCATGTCTTTTTTTTTTTTTTTTTACAGCCTGAGTACATCACCTCTCTATCAGGAGGGTGGCACGCTTCTTACAAATCCTCTTGAGATATGGCTGGTCATCATGCAGATCAGAGAGCTCTTAAGCTGTTTTTCTTTTAATAATATTTTGGATTCTTTTTTCCCAATTACATGTCAAGACAATTTTTAGCACTCATATTTTACATGATTTTGAGTTCTAAATTTTTTTCTCTCCTTCCCTCCCCTTCCCTTTTCCTAAAATGGTAGGCAAATTGATATAGGTTATACATTTGCTATCATGTAGAACATATTTCCATATTAGTCACAGTTGTGAAAAAACAGATCAAAGGGAAAAGAAAAAAACCAAGAAAAAGAATAAAGTCAGTGAAAAAAGTATGCTTCAATCTGCATTCAGAGTTCATCGGTTCTTTATCTGGATGTGGATAGCATTTTCCTTCATGAGTCCTTTGTACTTGTATTGGATCATTGTGTTGCTGAGAAGAGCTAAGTTATTCATAGCTGATCATCACATAATGTTGCTGATATTGTGTACAGTGTTTTGGTTCTGCTCATTTCACTTTGCATCAGTTCATACATGTCTTTCCAGATTTTTCTGAAATCTGCCTATTTATCATTGCTTACTCACAGTAGTATTCTATTACATTCATATATCACAGCTTGTTCAGCCATAACCCAATTGATGAACATCCCCTCAATTTCCAGTATTTTGCCACCACAAAAAGGGCTGCTATTAATATATTTGTACATGTAGTTCATTTTCCCTTTTTTATGATCTCTTTGGAATAGAGACCTAGTAGTGGTATTGCTGGATCAAAGGGTAGCAGACTTTGGTAGCCCTTTGGGCATAGTTCCAAATTGCTTTCCAGAATGGTTAGATCAGTTCACAGCTCTACCAACAGTGCATTAGTGTTCCAATTTTCCCACATCCTCTTCAGCATATATAATTTTCCTTTTTATATTAGCCAATATGATAGGTGTAAGGTGGTACCTCAGAGTTGTTTTAATTTGCATTTCTCTAATCAAAAGTGATTTAGAGCACTTCTTCGTATGCCTATATATAGCTCTGATTTCTTCATCTGAAAACTGCCTGTTTATATCTTTTGACAATTTATCAATTGGGAAATGGCTTGTATTCTTATAAATTCAGTTCTCTATATATTTGAGAAATGAGGCCTTCATCAGAGACACTGGCTGTGAAGATTGTTTCCCAGCTTTCTGCTTTCCTTCTAATGTTGGTTGCATTGGTTTTGTTTGTGCAAAAGCTGTTTCATTTAATATAACCAAAATCATCTATTTAACATTTTGTAATGCTATGTCTTGTATGGTCGGTCATGAACCTGTAACTCACTTAACTTCTCCCTTAAGAATCTGGATGCTATGTTTAGTATTGACATTACTTCATTGTCTATGCCTTATCTCTTTTAATTTAATTAATTTAATTTTAATCTCTATTTTTGCTTTTGCTTTGTCTGAGATCAGGATTGCTACCCCTGCTTTTTTTTTTTTTTTTACTTCAGCTGAAGCATAATAGATTCTGCTCTAGCCCCTTACCTCTACTCTGTGTGTGTCTCTCTGCCTCAAGTATATTTCCTGTAAACAATATATTATAGGATTCTGGTTTTTGATCCACTGTTATCAGCTTCCATTTTATGAGAGAGTTCATCCCATTCACATTCACAGTTATGATTACTAACTGTGTATTTCTTTCCATCCTATTTTTCCTCCTGTTTGTCCTCTCTCTCTCTTTTCACCCTTTTCCTCCTCACCAGTATTTTGCTTCTGTCTAGTACCTCCTCCAATCTGCCCTTCCTTCTGTCAGTAACCCCTACCCTTTACTTGATTTCCTCCCCTCCTCCTTCCCTGTTGGGTAAATGGATTTTAATATTCAACTAACTGTGTATATTATTCCCTTTTTGAGCCAATACTGATGACAGTGAGGTTCAAGAGACACCCATTGCCCACCCTCCCATCTTCCCCTCTATGGTAATAGGTTTTTCATGCCTCTTCATGTGAAATAATTTATCCTATTCTACCACTCCCTTCCTTCTGCACCCAATGTACTCTTTCTCATCCTTTAGTACTTTTTTTATGCCATTCCCTCATATTCATCTTATACCATCTATGTATATTCCTTCTAGTTATTCTATTAGTGGTACAATTTTTAAGAATTACACATATTGGGGCAGCTAGGTGGCACAGTGGATAGAGCACCAGCCCTGAAGTCAGGAGGACCTGAGTTCAAATCCGGCCTCAGACCAAACAGTTGATACTTACTAGTTGTGTGACCCTGGGCAAGTCACTTAACCCCAATTGCCTAAAAATAAAATTTAAAAAAAAAAATTAAAAAAAAAAAAGAAAAGTATCATCTTCCTATGTAGGGATGTAAACAGTTCAGCTCCATTGAATCCCTTATGTTTTGTTTTCCCTTTTTACTTTTTTAGGCTTCCCTTCAGTCTTAATATTAGATATCAAATTTTTTGTTCAATTCTTGTCTTATCCTCAGGAAAGCTTGAAATTCTTCTATTTCACTGAATGACCATTTTTCCCCTTGAAGTACTATGCTTAATTTTGCTAAGTAGGTGATTCTTGGTTGTAGTCCTAGCTCCTTTGCCTTCTGGAATATCATGCTCCATGACCTCTGATCCTTTGTTGCAGCTGCTAAGTAAGCCCGTGTAATCCTGACTGTTGCTCCCGGATATTTGAATTGTTTCTTCTGTCCATTTCCAGTGTTTTTTCCTTAACCTGACAGTTCTGTAATTTGGCTATAATGCTCCCGGGATCTCTTTTCTCTAGGTAATCAGTGGATTCTTTCAATGCCTATTTTGCCTTCTGGTTCTAAGCTATCAGGACAGTTTTCCTTGATAATTTCTTGAAAGAGGCTTTCCAGGTCCTCCTTTTGATTATGGCTTTCAGGTACTACAATGATTCTGACACTGTCTCTCCTGGATCAATTTTCCAGGTCAGTTGTTTTTCCAATGAGGTATTTTACATTTTTTCTATTTTTTTATTCTTTTGAATGGTTTCTCTTGGAGTTATTAGCTTCCACTTACCCAATTCTAACTTTTAAGGAGTTGTTTTCCTCAGTAAGCTTCTGTACTTTCTTTTCCATTTGGTCAATTCTACTTTTTAAGCAGTTGTTTTCTTTTTCCAAGGTGTTGATTCTTTTTTCATAATTCTCTTGCATCACTCTCATTTCTTTTCCCAATTTTTCTTCTATCTCTCGTATATGATTTTTAAGCTCCTTTTTGAACTCTTCTATGAGTTTCTTTCTGGGCTTGAGACCACTTCCCATTTTTCTTTGGGGTTCTGCCCATGGTTGTTTTGACATTGTTGTCCGCTTCAGAGTTTGTGTCTTGATCTTCTCTGTCACCATAATAACTTTCTATGGTCAGACTCTTCTGTTGTTTTTTCCTCGTCTTTTTTGGCCTTTTTCCTTTCTTTTAAATTTGAGCTCTGCTCACCAAGTGGAAGGGGAACTGTTTCAGGCTTCTTGTGCCAGGGGCTGTAGGTCCTAGCTATTTATCTGGTGCTTCAATCATGTTGCCCTGAACATGGGTACCCTCATGTCTGATGCTGTGCTGAGGGAGTGGGGTGAGGGGGGTGGCTGGTGCTGCTGGAGGCTGTAGGAGTATGGCAGTTTACCTGGTGCTGAGCCAGAGTCCTAGTGTGGTGTGTGGCATGTGCTGAGGCTGTCGGGATGCTCCAGCATTTCCCTGGGGGCTACATTGAAGCACATGGCTGTCTGGCCACTGGAGATTACCCGTTTGCCGAGGGCTATGCTGAAGTAAGTGGAGGTCTGCCACTGGAGACTGCCTGTTTGCCTGGGTCTTTGCTGAAGCACATGGGGGTTCTTGAAGCTGGAGTCTGCCTGTTTCCCTGGTTATCCTGAGGCACATGAGAGGTCCTGGTGTTGGGGTATGCCTGCTGCGCTGCACTGGGGCTCAGGATCTCTTGCTGGTTTGCTGAAGTAGGGCTTGCTGCTGGCTTACTGGGACACTTCCTGTCTTAGCCTGCATGCCCCTTTTGCCCAAGTGAGACAGACCTTTCTTGGAGACCTTCCAAGTTTCTTGGACTTAAAGATTGTTTTGCTCCATCTTTTTGCTGGTTCTGCTATTCCAGGATTTATTTCAGTATGCTATTTTATGGTTGTTTGGAGGTGACTGTGGCAGTGTTACTGTGATTTACTGCTTACTCCGCCATCTTGGCTCCCAGAAGTTTCTTAAGTTGTTTTTCTTTATAACAATACTGTCCTTGTAAAATTGTTCTCTTGGTTCTTCTACTTCACTCTGCTTCAGCTCATACCACTCCAAATTCTCTGAAATTATCTCTTTATTCATTTGTTACGTCTACAGCTATTTCTTCTAAGGTATTATCTTCCCTCTTAAGCACCCCTTATACCTTCCCCTGCCCTCATCTCCACTTATTTGCCTATAGTTTGCTGCATTTATATAATGTTTATATAAACGGGTTCAACCCTCCTTTCTCTCCTTCAGATGACTGAAGTTAATCTGATACATCCGTATACTCTTCTTTCCACATACCCAATTATGAGTATCAGTAAGCCCTTCTGCCTCCTGAATTCATTTTATCCTTTCTTGTCTTCCTCCTCTTAAAACAAAAGGGCCACTTATTTTTTCTCCCCTACTGGAATGTTAGTGCCACATCACAGGCAGCTAGTTGGCATAGGGCAGAGGTGTCATACTTGTGGCTAACAAAACTCTCCAGTGCAGCTCAATCAGATTAAAATGTAATTGGGAAATGTTAAACAAAATAAATAAGAACACAATACAACATAGGTAATGCTAAGTTATGGTTTTCTAAGTCAATATGTGGCCCTAAGAGATACATCTATTTGAGTTTGACACTGCAGGTATAATACAAAGATTGCTACATTTGAAATCAGGAAACCTGAGTTCCAATCTTACCTCAGACAGTTACTAGCTATGTGACCATGACAAGTCACTTAACTTCTCTCAGTCTTAGTTTCTTCATCTGTAAAATGGGTATAATAAATAGCACCTACCTCACAAGGTTCTTATGAGGATATGAAAGCCTTAGAGAGCAATCTAAATGCTAATTATTGTTATGGCTATTATTATCTCATCATATAGTTCTTTCCAATTGCTCAAATAAATTAACCTTTCTAAATTTCTCTGGACTCTTGTATTTATATTTTAAAGTTTCTACTCAGCTCTGGTCTCTTAATCAGGAATGTCTGAAAGTCTTCTTCTAATAAAAGTCTATTTCTTTTCCCTCTATGATTTTACTTGAGCTTTTCAGAGTAAGTTATTCTTGATTGTAAACCTATGTCTTTCACCTTTTGGAATGTTGTAGTCCAAGATCTCTTCTTATTTGTGGTAGAAGCTCACGGGTTTTATGTGACTGTGGTTCCCTGGAACTTGAACTGCTTCTTTTTGGATGTTTATAATATATTTTCCTTTGATACGGGAACTCTGGATTTTGATTATGACATTAATGGGACTTTTCCTTTGAGGGTTTCTTTCGGTGAACAATGGATTTTTCTATCTTCACTCTGCTCTCTGGTTCTAATAGATTTAGACAACGTTGAATTATGATTTTCTTGAAATATCTACTATTGAAATAGTATCTAGCCATTTACTGATGGTGATTTTCAAGGAGTTCAATAATTCTTAAAACGTCTCTAATTGCCCTGTTTTCCTGGTCAGTGGTTTTTTGATAGCAGATAATGTTTTCTTCTATTTTTTCAATTTTTTGATTTTGTTCTAGTATTTCATGATGTCTTATGAAGGCAGTGGTTTCTATTTATTCTAATTTTCGAGGAGTCCATTTACCACTTTCTCTTCAAAACTATTTTTTTCCCTTCTAATTGTTTCCTCCAAAGTTTTTATCTCATTTTTCATCACTTTATGTCATTGAGGCATTTGTGTAATCCTTTTGGAAAATACATTTTTTCCTTAGTGTGTACCTGCAATTGTTATGGAGTTGCCCTTCTTGAGGACCCCTAGATTTGCAAAAATTTTTTATACTGATCACTGTCTTTTTTGGTTTACTCCATTTCCTAATGTGCTTTTGGGTGGGGTGGTCTACCATGCTTGGTTTTACCATAGTAAAAGTTCTTATGTTGATCTCCTCCAAATGGCACTGCGTCCCCTGATCTTTGAGGTTCAGAGCACAGGACTTTTCAAGACTATAGTATCTCAAGACATAGTGCTAGGGACCTGGTTGCCCTGGAGTGTCCTGGTCCAAGCAGCCTTTACATAACACTCACATACCCACCCTGGTCATTGCTTCTAGTGTTTCTAAGGGCCCCATTATTTTATAACCACCCTGGGGCTTTCTTGTGGGAGCACTCCATTTTTGTGGTCTCCAGAGAGTCTTCCAGGCTCTCATGTCTCCCTTCCCTGGTTCCACTAGGAGGTTACTATCTTGTTTGTCTATGCTGTTACCCTCTATTCCTATTATCAATAGGCTACAGGCTGAGTTTTGTGCAGTTCTGTGACGGAATTATTTCTTGATCATTATTTGGTCTGGGGTGAATTTCTAGGATTTTTCCTATAATAGGTGAGGGAAGCTGGACAGCTTGCCTCTGTTCAGGCAGACATCTCAGCAGGAGGTGTCCTAAATAAAGTCCTTCTAAATTCCCCAAAGGCAGAAGCAATCTCTTCTTTCTCTAACTAGAATACTTCGTCTCTCTTACTGCACTTTTATTTCCTACTTTGCATTACAGATACTGATATATATGTTCTAACTCTCCTAATGGTCTCTGTAAACTCTATGAGGGCAGCAAATATGTCTGAGGCCTGGCTCTCCTAACTGGTGACTGCCTGCCCAGATCACTATCTCAGGAGAAGAGCCATAAATGCTGCAATCCATTCTTGACTCCACTCTCCATGCTTCTTCTCATCCTCCTCACTAGCCACCTTGCCCTTCCTTCCCCTCTCTCCCCCCTACTACTCTTCTTTATGGCTTATGTGTTATACTCTCAGTACAATGTAAGCTCTTTGATGACAGGGTCTGTTTTTGCCTTTCTCTGCAACCTTAGTACTTATCACAGTGCCTGGCACATAGTTACTACTCAATGAACATTCTTTAGGTACCTGACTAGGGGTGGACTTCAAGCAACAACAGTAAGGCAGAATCTCCTTGCTAGAACACTTGCTGATCTAATCAAATGTGGCTTTAGACTAAAGAAAAAGGCAGAAGGAGAAAGCTATCCAGAAACAAAGCCACAGAGAAGAGCAGGTAACTAGGAAGAAGAGCACAGGAGGTCCCCATTAGTTTACAGAAGATAGTGATAACCTTCTATACCTAAGCTGGAGTTGAGTAGGCAGGTCTTTTTCCTCTTCCCAAACAGTCATGTCTACCATGTATTTTATCACTGAAGGGAATATCTTCTTGGCTTGGCCAATTACCTCTTCACTCAGTGGACATCCTGGATTCTGCAAAAGGGCATGGTAAGAAATATTATTAATGATATATATAGGCAATGGAAGAGAAAGAAAAGATTATTCATTTTAAACATTTTTAAATGATGGCATTATATCATTTTCCAGGAATTAATTCTTCAAGCTGGGTTCATGAGATTATAGTTAGGTCTATTTTGCTGAAACCACTCTTGGCTAAGAGATAGGGTAATGAATAATAGAAAACAGAGGGAAGAGCACCCATGGAGGCTGCATTTTCTGCCACTTTCTCCTTTGGATATATGCAACTTCCATAAGTGAAGTGTTGATTGCCCCCAATATACACTGTGCTTAAATGGATGTTTTAAAATTCAGCATGCCCATAAGTCACTAAATGGTAAATTTTAATCCAATTACAAATGACACTAATTAATTTTACTTGACCTGGTCACCACTACTCACCCACCTATTTACTCTCTAGGTCAATTATTCTATCTCACCAAATTCTTTGTGAAGTTCCAATTTCTATTCTTTTCTCAGCATTTAAAGACAATTGCCCAGTCCTTTCCTGGAAAGGCAATCAATCAATCAACAAGTATTTATTAAATACCTATTACATGCTAGTCACTGAGAATACAAAGAAAATAAATGAAATAGCCCTTGCCCTCAAAAAGCTTACATTCTTCTGGAGTTGGGGGAAGGGATAATACTATACATAAGTATAAACAAAATATTTACAAATTAAATGCAAGGTAATTTGCTCAGAGGTGGCCATAAGCAGCTGAGAAGATCAAGGAAGGATTAATGTGGAAAGTAGGGGACATGGGGGACAACCTGTCAAAGAAATAAAAGATGCGTTGCTACATGTGAGCCAATCTGGCTGAACCTCAGAGTATGAGAAAGGAGTAATGTACTACATGGTTGGCAAGGTAGATTAGGACCAGATTATGAAGGGCCCTGAAAGAAAAATAGAGAAGATTGTATTTGATCCTAAAAGCAATAGGGACCCAATGGGTAGGCAAATTACATAGCCAGACCTGCACTTTGGGAAATCACTTCAATAGTTGTGTGGAGGACAGACTGAAGCAGGGAGAGCTTTGAGGCTGAAATACCAATTAAGAAGTTTTACCAAAGTCCAGGAAAGAGATGATAGCTTGTACTGGGTTGTAGCCATTAGAGTAGAGAGAAAAGAACAGATCTGAGGGATATTTTGGTAGAATGACAAGATTTGGCAACTGACTGGATATGGGGAAGGAGCTGATAAGAGGATAATGCGAAGTTGCAAACCTTGGTGACTGGAAAGACAGTGGTACCCTCACTGGAAACAAGGAAGTTTGTTAAAAGAGCAAGTTTGAGGAAAACTATACTCAATTCTCTTTTGGACACATTGAGTTTGAGAAGCCTACAGGACATCCAGTTTAAAATGTTTAATAGGCAGTTGGATTAGCTCAGCAGATTATATGTCTGCTATACATAGCAGACATATAGATTTGGGAGACATCTGCACTGAGATGACAATTAAAGCCATGCAAACTGATGAGGGTACAAAAAGTGTAAAACAGGGGTTCTTAATCTTTTTTGTATCATGGACCCCCTTTGGTTGTTTAATGAAACTTGTAGATACCATCTCAGAACAATATTTTTACATGTATAAAATAAAATGCATAGGATTCCAAAGGAAATTAGTTATATTAAAATACTTAACAAAGCATTAAAAAAAAATTAAGTGGCTCCTAGGTTAAGAACCCTTCGTGCAGAGACAGAAGAGGGCCTAGGATAGAGCTGTGGGGCACACCCATGTATAAATAGGAATGATGAACCAACAAATGAGACTGAGAATGAATGGTACGATAGGTAGGAAAAGACCTTAGAGAGAAGAGTATCACACAAACTCAGCGGAGAGGGTAACCAGAAGGAAAGGGCACAACACTGTCAAATGCTTCAGAGAAATTAAGAAGAATGAAGATTAAGAAAAGACTATCAAATTTAGCAATTAAGAGATTAGTGTTAACTTTGGCAATTATAAAACTAGTCCATACTTCTTAATTCTATTATTAGGCATATATCCCAAGGTGATCATTGACTAAAAAGAAAGTCCCCATAAATACCAAAATATTTATAGCAGTACTTTTTGTGGTAGAAAAGCATTGGAAACAAAGTAGATGCCCATCAATGCAGAATGACTAAATAAATTGTGATACATGCATGTAATAGAATATTACTGTGCTGTTAGAAACCACAAATGTGAACACAGAAAAGCATGGGAAGACTTATATGAACTGATACAGAAGCAGAGCCAAGAAAATATATACGACGGCTTTGTTGTTGTTCAATCGTTTCAGTCATATCTGACTCTTCGTGACCCCATTTTGGGGTTTTCTTGGTAAAGATATTGGAGTGCTTGCCATTTCCTTCTCCAGATCATTTTACTGATGAGGAATTGAGGTAAACAGAGTGAAGTGACTTGACCAGGGTCACACAGCTGTTAAGTGTCTGCGGCCAGATAGGAACTCAGAAAGATTGATTCCAGGCCTGGCACTCTATCCACTGCACCACCTAGCTAGCTTATATATAATGACTACAGCAATGTAAATGGAAAAAACAACCACTAAACAACTGAAAGAGAATAATCTAAAAGTACAAAGAAAAAGCATGGTCCCAAGAAGAGATATCAGAAGAAATTGCCCCCCTACCTCTTTTGCAAAGGTAGGAGGGAAGTTCATGATGTGGGAAATTGCATGTATTTTCAGATTGTTTTCAATGTATTGATCAGTTCTGTTGATTGGGATTTTTTTGCTTCTTTCTTTTTCCTTTGAAAAAATATTCCTTGGGCAGCTAGATGGCACAGTGGATAGAGCACCAGCCCTGTATACACACACACACACACACACACACACACATACACACACGTATGTATTCCTTGTTATATAGGATGGCTCCTTGGAAGGTGGAGAAGGAGCGATACAGGGGGAAATTTAAGTGATGTAAAAACAAAAGATATCAATAAAAGTACTTTTTTAAAAGAGATTATTACTAACTTTTCAGGAAGAAATTTCAATTGAGTGATGAGGTTGGAAGACAAACTATAGAAAGCTAAGAACTGAAAGCTGAGGAAGTAGAGGCAATGAGTATAGAGAACTTTTTCTAGGGGTCTGGCTGGAAAAGAGAGGAAAGAAGGATCTCCTTGAGGATCTACCACCTGTTTTGTTTTGTTTTTTAAAGATGAGGGATCCCTGGGGTGGCTAGGTGGCACAGTGGAAAGAGCACCAGCCCTGGAGTCAGGAGACTGAGTTCAAATCTGGCCTCAGACACTTGACACTTCCTAGCTGTGTGACCCTGGGCAAGTCACTCAACCCCATTGCCTCACCAAAAAAAAAAAAAAAGAGGAGTCCCAAGACAACTGAAGAATTTATGATGAATAATGCTATCCATTCCCCGACAAAGAACTTAGAGTGTCTGAATACAGATTTTGAAGCATACTTTTTTTTTCTTTCTTTATTTTTCCTGATTTTTTTTTGTCTGTGTTTTCTTTCACAACATGACTATCACATAAACATTTTGCATGACTACACATGTATAACCTATATGGAATTGCTTGCCTTCTCAATGAGGGGGTGAGGAGGGAGGAAAGGAGATAATTTGGAACTCGAAGTTTTAAAAATGAGTATTAAAAATTGTTTTTACATGTAACTGTGGAAAAATAAAATACTAAATTTAAAAAAAGATGAGGGATCCTTGTGAGCATTTATAGGCAGTAGGGAAAAAAACCAGTAAGGTAAGGGAAAATTGAAGATTAGGGAAAGAGGGGAGGTGATTGTGAATGCTGGAGAAGATGAGATCAAGGGTGCAAACAGAGACATTGGTTTTGGCAAGAAGAATGGTCAACTCTTCATTGTTGATTGGAATGAAGGAAGAGGAGCTAATACGAGATGATGTCAAGGACTTTTAAGATATAGAATAGTGAAAAATTGAGAATTCACAGTAAATGGTCTCTCTTTTCTCAATAAAGAAAGGAAGACAAAGATATACATTTCTTTTCTCTTTTCTTCCTAATTAAAGAGTACAGAAAACATGGTACATCTCATCTGGGATGAGGTCTAAGAAGTACGTGTACACCTACACACATGTTCCTAAGAAGTCATATATGGAGCTGATCTCAGACTCAGGTAGACCTTAGTTCAATTCCCACCTCTGACATATAATAGTTGTGTGACTTTGGGACAATTACTTAGTCTCTCAATGTCCCAAGCAACTCATTAACACAACGAATTGAAGAGAAGTTGTAAAAAGGCAGTTGTAGAGGATGTTTCCGAACCCATTACATGAAATTACAAGTCAAAAAAAAAAAAAAAAAGATCCTTGGTTTCCTCCACCTGAAATGTGAAGATCCCAAAAACCTGAAGCTATATTAAGCCAATATATACATATACAATGAATATATATGTATTCTTTATAGCCTACATATAGATAACATATGTATATTCTAAACTATAACTAAGCACAAAAATTTCTAAGACTAAACTTTAAAACATAAATGTGTATCAATCTTCAAGATCCAATTTGTGAATGAAAAATAATTCACTCCAGATCAACCAACATGGAATAAAGCTAAGCAGAATGGTTATATGTTATTAAAATATGCTGTCTACAATTCATTAAACATGTTGAAACATGATCTACTGGGACTGTAGAGCCAAGAGACATGAATTCTAGTTTCCACTCTGCTACTAACTTGCTGTATGAAGACACCTCCAAGGTAAATTCTACCTTTAACATTCAATAATGTTATAGAGGCTACTTAAGCTCATTTATCAATGGAAATTCAGTAAAAACACATGCTTTAAAACTGCAACTATAAATCCTGAAACTATATGGCATGGTAGTCTCTGAAAGATTAGAGAAATTTGTAATAGATAAGGCAGGAAAATAAGAATAAAAATAAATGACTAAGGAGTAGTGGATAAAACTAACTTATTGTTATAACAGCTATTTTTTTAATAACATAGTCCTCTTCAATGAGTTAATTATCCCAAAAA